TACTACATCAAATAGAAAGTATTACAAACTTGAGTAGTTGCAAACCGTTATTCTTTCCAAAATGAGTGTGTGTAGCAACTGCAAACTGTTGCTTAATAGGATACTTCAGATAAGAGATGAATAATGCTATATTCATGGTCTCAAATATTGTTCAAGCCCTGCAATCCACAAAGCTGCTATTTAGTCTACTTTTTAACTGTAGCTTTTTAAGGACATGAGAGTGAGAGAAAACAGGTACCTCTTTCAGAGAGCTGGAATGGATGCAATAAGGCAAAGGGTCTTCAGTACTGTAAAATTCAGATCCATCGTACAACATTCATTGGTACTACTTTCAGCTGTGTTATTCAGTAATGCAATATCAATTGTAATAAACAATCTTCTCTTCCTGTATTATCATAGCAGCCATTGGCGTAAATCGGTAGCGATGACACCAAGCAGTAATTGCTGGTACAGAGGGTAATGTTACTGCTAGAAGCATAATGCTTGTCGTCAACAATTTCAAAGCTAAAAATCTAAGCAAACATGGGGCAAATTTGCAAACATGTTTGTATGAACTATAAAATATGCAACAAATGAATACAATAGTTTTCAGACAGTAAAACATGTTGCTGAGACATTAGGAATTTCTAGAATAAAATGATCTTAGTAAAATAGGAATAGATGGGGGACATTCAGCCCACAGTGCCTATGGCATAACCTATACATGACAAGATGGTTAAGCATTCCCATTAGATATCCATATCCCGCCTGGTAGTGCACAGTAAAGGCACATTGGGTAACATTTGAAATGGTGCAAGATAGAAACCTTTGAAGTAATCAAAGATTTTGAACCACCACATTTTCTACTGTATCTTTTACCATATCTTCTACATCTTCTAAATGCTTTTTGAAGTCTCGAAAACGTGATAAAGTGCTATATCAAATGCAAGGATTATTATATTATTATCATCACCATCAGCACAATAATGTCAAACCAAAATGAAATTTAGGTCATCAAAGAAAGAAGTGCGGTATAAGAGAGATCCTACGGGATAGAAATTATTTATCCAATCAGTACTAATGATTCACCTGACCATCCATTCTAGTCAGTCTCTTTCTAGGCTGATGATGGTATCCAATGACTATCCTCTACTTAACCGCAAAGCTTTTCTTATGTGGTCTGTAGGAGAGGAAAAGATTTTGGTCTGTCTGTAGACACACATCCTTCCATGTTAAGCCAATATCTTTCCTCTCTTTCATACATCTCCAAATCAATTGCATTTGCTTTTTCCAAAATCTTCACATACTACTAGCTCTAGTAATTTCACTTTTCCATTACAACAACAACAACAACAACAACAAGATTCCATTTATAGAGCGCCTTTCACGTCAGGAGGACGTCCCAAGGCGCTGCACAGTTGGGTCATGACCCGAGCAGGGGGGAAATGGTCAGGGTGAGGGGAGGGAAGGGAGGGAGAGAGGAGGGGGAAATGGTGAGGGGAGGGAAGGGAGGGAGCGAGGAGGAGGAAGAGTCGAGGGGAGCTGAAGGCACGGTCAAGAGAAAGGTTTTGAGACCGGGCTTGAAGGAGGAAAGGGAGGAAGCAAGGCGAAGGCACTGGGGATGGAGTTCCAGAGCCTCGGGGCTGTGAGGCTGAAGGCCCGACCAACGATGGTAGGGCGGTGAGCAGACCGGAGCCAGAAGATACGGGCAGGTAGGTAGGGGGATAGTAGGTTGGAGAGGTAGGAGGGAGCAAGGCCTTTTTACAATTCTTTAATGGATAGCAAGAGCAAACTCTGTTCCAATGAAAACTATGCTATTTGATGGAAGGACATTGGAAAGCAAAACCTAATAACTTAGTCAATCAAAAGTCACCACAAGGCCTTTTGGAGTTGCGCGTCATTACTGTTGTGACAGGGATTAAGGATTTGTTGAGCTGTCACATCTCACCACAGCAGCAACCATTTATGACAAGGTTTTGATAGATTATTCATGTAATTTGACAGCAAATTAACCAATTCACGTTCCTTATCTTTTAATATGCATGAAATAAAGGAAAGAAGAAAAGGGGAATCTGGCTGCTTGCAATCTTCATAAAAGCAGGAGGTGAAACCTCACAAGTATTTCAGTACATTTACCATTATTTTGTTATTCATTCAGTCGGCAATTAGGTTTGTACAAAACGGCTCAGTAAGTTTACTCAGGCAGCAACTGAACCTTATTTGCTCCTCAATCCTAGGTTGATGGACGGTGGAATGAAGGGGGCTAAATTTGCTGCTCCTAAGTGCTGTCCAATAACCTTTGATGAAGGACATGGTTGTATTCAGATGCATGCAGGCAAATAGCAGTAAAAAGAAGTCAAACATCAAGAGAAGAAAACATTTTGGAAATGTTATAAATCGTTGTCGAGGCCTCCGGCAACATGTGAAGGGAGGAGCTTGGACACTATGTCTCAGCGGGCAGAGTACCTGTCCTATGCATTCCGCATAATAGAAATAAATTGCTGCAAATAACAGGACAAAATAAATGGGTACATGGTGATGTGTTAAATTAAACATGGCAGTGATTTTTTGTAGATCAATTGTTCGCTTATTTTCATTAGGAAGTAAGAACTCAGAATTTAAATAATGTTTTTTTAATCCTGCTGAACATAAAGAAAAACACTCATGTTGTGCTAGAGAATTTCACCCATCCCACCTGCTCAGAAGTCCATGCTCTCATTCCAACACAATACTGAAGAGCAGCTTTCAGACAGTAGCTTAGAGATTCCATGATCAGAAAGAGAAATTAAATCTCACAGGGTTTGTGAGCATAAGTTGAACTCCCAATGCTCCAAATAAGTCAACTGCACACAACAAAGTCGCTTTTGTCTGTACAACACACCTCTGCATACCATAGGGACACAGCTTCTCACATCCTCACTTCAGTAAGCCTGGCTACCACAATATTTTATTATTCACAGAATCCTTTCACTTGAAGATAAAACCTGACTCACTCTTTAGCATTGAAGGATCACATTTGCTAAGATGCAAAAGTTAGGATTTTTTTTAATTCTGGACACTTTCAAGTACAATATACCACCCTTACATAATTTTAGGTCGGGGAATGTAATATTAAACCATTTGTTTCAAGATAAATACTGGAGCTAACACTGATGACATTCAATGCAAGGCCCCCCCTCTGATGCTAACAAACTATCAACGGTTTAGTAAGTTTCCTGCTCAACTGCCCCTTCCTAAAAAAACACTGCAATACATGCCAAAAATGTGTAGTTGGACTCCACATTGTGTGGACCCACTACTTCAGATACAAGGTGAGTGTATTGATTATACATCAATGAACTGATTTAATTTTTTCAGTTACCCCTGCAACAATTTCAGAAAAGAAGCATGTCAGTGTCAATACTGGGACGTAGTTAACAATTTTTTTTTAAAAAAAGCTTAGTTAGTTGACAAATTAACAAATTAATTAATTTCAATATTAGTCATCTATCTTTTAGTACATCTGTTACAAAATGCTATGAATGACAGCAGAATTTATAATGTTAATGGTGATTCTTTTTGTGTACTACCATGTGTTATTACACAGAAGTAGACACATGGAAAGGGTCTTGGAGTTTACCATTTGGAAAGTACTGCCTCCTACAGACCATGTGTTGTATAACAAATCTGTCACAAACTACATCTACAGAGAAGTTAAGGGCTAAGGAAAGTTAAGCCCTTCCTTTTGCCACATTGGTTGTACCCAGCAGAAATTTGCAACTTCTAAAAGCCTTAAAGGTGTCTTAAGGTCTGATGAATGATACCCTAATTGTTCAAAAGGTGCTGCTTTAGAAAAGCTAACTGCAATAAGTGTGATCGTTGCTCTGTGTCATTACTGTACAAACCACGAAACGAGTCATTCACTTATTTGCAGGCATGTTTCTCCCAGCAGTTTATTTTCAATCAGAATCATGATCACTCAAATCACTCAGAGCTGAGAAATAACAGTAAACTTATATGAGTAAGTCAAAGCCCAGCAAATCGAGTGAGAACGAACCAAGTATTAACATAAATTGCAAACAGATCCATGGCACAGTGAAACCTGCCCCACAGGAGAGAAGTGGGCAAAAAGGAGGGAGTCACTATCACAGTCCCAACTTTTGCAATCGCACAAAAACAAAGGTTATGAAGGCTTTTTTTTTAAAAAAAAGTCGACTGAACTGAACCTAAATCAAAATGTTCGGATGGGTCTGCAGGGTATGAGAGTGTGTGTGTGTCGTGGGGGGGGGGTCGGGGAGAGGGACATAAAAGGGACGGGGTAGAGAGAATAAGTGCCATAAAAAATGAGTCCCAGAGATGGAGAAAAAGGGGGTAAGAGGAGAGATTTAAAAGGAGGAGAAATTCTGAAAAGGCACCTCGGGAGCACGATGGCGCTCACTGGAGGAAAGCCCGCCAAACAGGTGATTAGAAATGCAAAGCCAGGTTACACTCCAGCTCGGGGCCGCGCCGGGGGGTGGGTGTGTGTGTGTGTGTGTGTTTTTTTTAATAAAATTACAGTATTTGTGTTTGCGCGGAGAGGAGGAGAGGGAGAGGGGGGAGAGGGAGAGGGGAGGCCAAGGGAAACAAATGCGCGTCCGACAGAGAGCTGCGGGTTGAGAGGACGCGAAAAAAAAAAAAAAAAAAAACTTTTGAGGTGGGGGGGGGGGAAGAGAGAAAAAATTAAAGCCGTTTTTAAAGGCAAAGAAGGCGCCCGCCTTTCGCAGCCACCTCCCCTTCTCTGACCGTCACATCTGTCAGACGGGCTGTGTGTAACCCCCCTTCTCCTCTTCCCTCTCTCTCTCTCTCTCCCTCACACACCCCCTCTCGACTCCTTCGCACTTTCCCCTCACGGTTTTTTTTTAAAATAAAAAAAAATCTCCTCTCCCCTCCCCGAGTCGTTATTTGTTTTTTTTTTACCCCCCCCCACCCACCCACCCCTCAGTCCCTCCTCGACGACGATTTTTTTTTAAAAAAAATAATAATATAAATATATATTTTTTTACCTCACTGCTGCTGAGGCTGCTGCCGCTGCTTTCCCCGAACAGCTCGCGGAACTTGTGGAGGTTTTTCCCGATGGCGGCCGACACGGGCAGAGCGGCGTCGAAGCCGTGTTTCAAGTCCCTCTTCAAGCCCGGCAGCCGCGACCGTCCCGGTTTTTTCCAGGGCCGTGCGGGGAAGCGGGTCCGAGCTGTGTGCGCCATTTTAGGGAGTCTGTTTGTGTGTGTGTGTGGTGTGTGTGTGTGCGCGCCGTGGAGAGGGCGGGTGAACATGTCGCCCCAAACCGCGCATAACTCAACCGCGCCCCCGCCCTTTTCCCCTCCCTCCCGCCCGCCCGCGGCTTCAATACACAAGTTTCCGGGTCCCCGCGGCTGGTGCCGTTCAGCGGGAAGGACCCGACTCCCCGGGCTCCGCAACCTGAATTTCGCCCGGCGCCTGCGTGCCCGACGTGAGTAGGGGCGAAAGCCTGGGTTTATGCACGTTCCCGGGCGGCGAGCGTGTTCCGAGGGCTTTGCGCTCGGCGCGCGACGCCAGCTGCCACCTTCCGCACGCTCGTTCCGGGGCCCCCGGGGTGGAGCCGTTAGGCGGGATGGGCCGAGCTCGCGCGGGTGGGGGGGGGGGGAGGGGCAGGACCTGGTCCGTCCGTGGTCTGCGTGCCCAACGTGATCGAGTCAACTTGGCTTACGTATTGCCGGGGCCCCGAGGAGGCGTGTCGTGGTGTTGAAACCCCGAATCGTGTGTCATGAAAGACGTGTACAGCAGTTGGCTATGGTGTGTGCAGTCGATATTCAGGATCCCGGGCTCCACTTATTGACGAGCGGGGCCCTCGGAAATAATGCAATATCCATCGCACGGGGCGCAGCCACCTTTTACCATCACATGTCCGGAAGCTGAATATCTCATCGCCAAAGCATGCCGTCAATGTTGCACTGTCAAACATACAGGGGTAAGGGCACGCATCACGTTACGAAATTGCCACCCCGAATTATGGATAGCTCATATCGGTCTTGTGCTAACCAGTAAGAAAATATTGTAATATGCGTGGTCAGGGGTCTCCTTGGATAATTTAAGAGCAATAAATTCAGATGAACCACTTGGTTCTTGTTGTATTTAGGAGAAATTAATGGATCGGGGGACAGGGAAGGAAAACTAATCCTTAAAAAGTCTTAGGAACAGCCAAATGCAATGAACGCGGCACAGGGAGCAGTTAGAAACATCGCATCAAGATTTAAGGGGGGGAGAAAAAAAATCACAAGATATTGCTGATCGGAGTTAGATAGACCACTTTCACTTGATGCCACTCATTGGGGGGAGGAGGGAGAGAGGGTTCACCCACCATGCCTTTCATTATCAATCGATTGTAAACAGCAGCAACTGCAGCCCAAGGCTGCATCCCTTCTGTTCCTTGTCCTGCAGCTGTCTTTCGTGATCTGACATAACCGAGAATACATTATATAGAAAGTGAGGGAGGGACAGTAAAGTGAGGCACTTGGTCAGGATGCAAATTGGGACAGACGCCTTGGAAGCTGCACACAACAGATGGATAGGGGCCCCTGTTAGAAAAAAAAGTAGGATTCTGATCCCAGTGTCCTTATCTGCAGTGTGGGAAGGGTTTAAAATTTTGAATGAATTCTGGAGGGTGCCCACCTTCTGACTATTCAAGAAGCTGAATCCCTTTCACCTGAAAATAGTCACTACACTTTGACAGCAATTCCCCGTGAAGAGCTTTGAAACATTATGACATGATGAGCACATGCAAGGATTTTTATTAATGACCATCAGCTTCTGCCAGTTTAAGCAGCCTGGGTCTTAAGATGGGGCAGAAAAGAGGACGGGGAAAATGATGGGTGCTTTGCAATAACATCACATGCAAATGGTACAATAATGTGCCCAGACAATCACTTCTATCACTGGACCAAGGTCTGACAAATGCAAGGATCATTCATTGTATCCCAAAGCTTCAAATAAAACCTCTCTAAATCATATGAGAGATGGAAATTTGAACTCCTGCACGCCTGGTACTGACTTCAACTCATGTCCTCACCACACAGATTTTTTGAACCTGTGGAAGGAAGGAATTATATTACATTGATCAGATAAGGGGCAAGTGTACGTGTAATGTGTGTGTAGTGCATGTGTATGTAGCATGCAGGGGTTGGAGCTTCTTTAAAGTGCATGGCAGTGATGTCTGTTGATCTGCAGCATGTGTGCAAAGTGGCTTTTACCAATGATTCTCTTCCTGGCTCCAAATCAGAGCTGTGCGCATATGTAACTCTGTGACCATCGTCAGCAGTTTGGATTCAGGCAGCGAGCTGAACTGCCTTCCCCTTTCCCAGTGTGATTCACAGAGGAATAGGTCCACTCGGAAAACAGCTGAAAATGATTAAACAGCACAGCAATTTCCACACAGAAAAGTCATGCAAACAGTACCCAGAGATGAGCTGCTCCAAGAGTAAAGACACAACCTCAACCTGGAAAAGTAATGATTTATTGATAAGCATATCCCTCTGCCTCACACCTTCTCTTTCCGCTTTGATAACACTAAAACATTGCCCACCTCTTCAACCACGCTTTTGGTCACCTTCCATTTCAGCCACTCAGTGATAACAGAGAGCAGAGACTTAATTGTACACAGTTAATGTTTAGCTCCAATACAATTGGGTCCCAGAACCAGATTAAAGTGTTTAATTTATTGCAAATGGACTGAGAAACAAGTGAGCAATAAATGGTCAGTCAACAAACGAGCTCAGCTCGTGGTTTTAAACAGAAGACAGTAAGTTTTACAATCCTCAGAAGTGAGTTTATTTAATTTCTAACAAGGTAAATACATTAATATCCAGACATGGACTTTGTTGCGTTGACACAGAACATCTTATAGTTTATACATTGTACCCAACCAGGCTCCCCTTGCCAATGACCTCACCGATGTAAAACCACATCAGGACTTCAGCAGCAACCAGGGAGTTCCTCAGTGCTTCCTGAAAAACAGAGAAGAGGTTGAGCAAACGACCACCGACTGTGGCCATCACATTGTCTGACACTGGCCCCTAATTCACATTACAACATTTGGAACATTATTCCCCCACGCGCGCCTGCCTGAAGAAAAAAAAATTGCCGTATTTTGCTCCCAAAGTAAGACTATTTTGAATATCTTTAATGCAATTCTGAAACTTTGTATTCTGTATTGTTCAAATTTCCATTCATATGCAAATCAAACCATCCATCTGGTCTTTCTCTACACAGAGCGAGGAGTTAAAAAAATATAGTATTTACAACCAAATTTCCTTTTCTTTAAAAAATTACATAGTTCACAATGTAGGGGATCCAGCAAAGAAGGACCCCACTCTCCAATTCTACATTTCCAGCCCNTTTTTGTGGGCCTATAAACCTGCAGGCAAGATATCTGAAGATTTGTGATATGCCCTCCCAGCTCCCTCTTGCTGTCCTTCTACACTAACCAGTCATGCTCAAAGCATCCCATTTTTTCTCTCTCGAAAAGTTGTGACGATCTGATTTTACAGCATCTGCATATTTTACATCAGTGCAGATTTTTTTTAACACACACAAACACATACACAGCACAGGAAGGAAGGCTGAGCAAATGAGTAAGGATTAATTATAACCTCGCGCCAGGCTTGGATTGACTGACAAGACCAGATGGCACTGCAGATTTGCATATGAATGGAATGGACAACAATGGCAAACTCCAAACTCTGAAATACAATCCCCCAAAGAAAAAGAACATCACTGACATTCTCTCAGGTTAATCTCAAATTTGGGTAAAATTACAGTTGCAGCTAACAGGAGAGTGTTAGTCGGGGTTGGGGGTATCCAGAATAAAATGGCTGGTCACAGGCCCTCATCTGAAACACATTAATCACTGGGGCAATAGTCAACACTGCTCATGCTGCAGCTTGTGTGGTGCTTATAGGTCTAGGGGATGTTCATTCTGCCTACCCCAAAACATCTACGCTTGTGTCTAGGCAAGAATGAAGGTGATCTGACCCAACCAAACTTTACTAATTGACCCAGCCACGGTCCTTTGTACAGCAGCTTGAAAACCACGCGCAACGCTACACAGCTTCACACCACATCAACGGGCAACAATAACAACGGGTCCCTTTTCTTTCTCCCCCTCTTCCCTCTCATGGCATCCTGACAGTTAGCTCATCCGACTGATTGTTCTTCACATGAGGGCCCAAGCAATGCGTAAGAACAATATACAAGGCTGGAATTTTCCTACTGTGGTAACACGTGAGCCCAAAAAAAGCATAAAGGATCATTAATGGACCATCAGTGGGATTTAAAACAGTGAAAGATGCTTGGGATGTAATAATAATGTAAGAATGTAAAGGGAAGTGGAAAAGGGCAAGGAAATCAGAAAGACAACTCCACTAAAAATAAGAACCAGCAAAGAGCGTGTGCGTGTGATCCTAGTCATAGGCACTCACTGCCTAAACTCACATACCGAGAATGAAGCGGTCAGGCAAGATGCCAGAGACTGACTGACAACATCACAACAACAACAACAAGATTCCATTTATAAAGCGCCTTTCACGTCAGGAGGACGTCCCAAGGCGTCCCACACACCTCAGCTCAACACCTTCAGCAAATCAAGGAAGCAAAAGATTCCAAACAGAGCCAAAAATCCAACTACCTCAAATAATGTCTGTCTGGAGCAACAGCTTGTTGTAGATAACACTACCTGAATGAAGAGTACCAAAGGAAGACATTTTCCTGAACTCTTTCTTAAGCAACAGGAAACATTTGCATTGGTTGCACCGGCAGTCGGCACCCCCTTACCTTGACGGTCAGCTGTCCAAGCCGCCCTGACTTGTAGGCTGTCAGCAGGCCCTTTGCACTGTCAATAGCCAATGGGATCTCTTTCGGGGTTGGTGGAACCAACTCTACCCGAGCATAACTCCAGAAGGTCGTGAGACGGGGTTTAGTGTAATTTACAGCAGCTAGAGAGAGAGAGAGATTGTTTAATAAAAAGCTAGAGAGAGAGAGACAGTGAAAGAAGGTGATCTGCAAGCAGCTTCTCATGGGATATAATTATTGTACAGCGAAAGGGGGAACTATTCTTCCAATAAAATGTCACTTTGCAAAAACATGCAACATAATAAATCTTGCAATTGATATAATGTCATCTTTCACATCAGCAGCGCATCTTAAATCGCTTCATAGGATTTGCTGTAACGTAGAATTACTGTATCCTGCAGGCAAATGCAGCAACCAATTTGCACACAGCACCGTCGCACAAACAGCCAGGAATTGACCAGTTTTATCCGGGAGAATGCCAGCCAAGACACCGAGAGAGGGAAACTCTCTTCTCCTTGCGCAGCGGGGGGGAGCTTTAAGAGTCCATCTGAATACGGCACAGGCGAGGGGCTCGGTTTATCGCATCGCCTGAAGGACGGCGCCTCAGACGAAAACCCTCGCATCTTATACGGCAACCCGTTGCGCCGTCGGGACGTCTCTCAAACCGCTTCGCAGGATTTACTGTCAACGCGGAGCGCCCCACAAGCACTCTATGACCCTAAAGTCCCACAACAATCTGACTCCCCACAACAACAAATGACGCCGACCGACACGTCGCCTTTCAGGTCGGGAGGACGTTCCAAGGCGTTGGGACGGTCAGGGATTCGGACCCGAACTGGCGGTTGGGATCAGGGGGGGGGGGGTGGGGGGGGGGGGGGATAGACGGCGGGTCGGGGGGTACAGGTAGGAGGGTAAACCGAAGACGTGGTCGAGGAGCGTCTTGAGATGTGCCTTGAAGGAGGCAAAGGAGCGAGTGAGGCGAAGGGACTGCGGGGCGGAGTTCCAAAGGGCGGAGGCAGAGCAGGAGTGGGGGGGGAGGGGGGGGGTGTGGAGGGGACCCGGAGTCCGCCGAACGGAGGGGGTGGACAGGTCGGTGCGGCGACCTCTACCTGTCCCCGGAGGTGACGGGGCTGAGCGGGTCCGACACCACCGACCACAACCCGCGACACCTCCAACGGAGCCTTTCACAAGAGTCGGGAGGACAGTGAAGGGTTTTGCCCCCAAAGCCACTGGAGAGGCTGCGGGAGGCCCCGCAAGACCCGGAGAGGCCTAACTGTCCTCCGGCCTCTCCCTCCCTCCCCGCCGACCCCGGGGTCTCTCTCTCTATCTCTCCCTCTCTCCCCCCCGACCCCGGGGTCTCTCTCTCCCTCTCTCCCCGCCGTCCCCCGGCCCCCGGCCCCTCACCTGCCGCCAGCCGCGGGGCGTCCTTCACGAGCCGTTGGATCCTCGCCGCCATTTTCCCGCCCGCGACAAAGTCACCCTCGGACCGAGGACCCCCACCCAGGGGGGAGGAGGCTGCCCGCTGCAGCGCCTGACTGCCCAAGAAAATATATATATTTTTTTAAAAAAAGCACAAACAGGAGGGTTTTTTTCCCCCCCTTTAAAGATCAATGAGGCCACCAGCTGATTGATTATTGATCAGCAACAGCCACGCTGAGTTTATTTTACAGCGAGGCCCCCAACCGCCCACCCACCCCGGGGCTGCCCGATTCGCTGCCTGTCGCCGTGTCACGCACCACAGGACTGCGCCTGCGCCAACCGTTCATTCATAAATCGGGTCGTTCCCACAGTTGTGGGCACTTCGTTTGGATTTTACTGAACTCTCTTTTTAAAAACCTTTATATTTGTTCTTGACATTTAAACCAAACCAAACCGAGTTTATTAGCTTAATGCTCTATTATGTATTTGAAGGTTCCATTCCAAAAAAAAAGCTTAGAAAAGGTAATAATAGTAATAATAATAATCCTTGCATTTGAGACAGCGCCTTATCACATCTTTGAGACGTCTCAAAAGAGCGTCACACAATATACCGTAAGGTGAATTGACTGTGTGCTGTGTGGGCGAAACATGCGCGAAACTTAAAATAATGAACGGTTGATGTACTTGTGTGTATTGACTGTATTTTTAGGTGAACGCAGCAGCCAATTTGCCCCACACACGGCTGCGAATGACCATTATCTGGAGGATTGTTGGCCAGGTATAAGCCAAAGAAGCCCGGTCCTCAATTAACCACCAGCCCCCCCCACCACATAAATCTTACAAGCAAGGGAATCATCAGAAATCAGGTTTCTGTCTGATTTTTCTCTCCCTATCCCAGGGACACTGAGGTCAATTATAGACCAAATTGCTTTTTTAACACAGTTTCGAGATCAGCTAACTCAAAAGTCAATCTTTTACAACAAATCAAACTCTGGAATGTACTGCTTGAAAGGGTGGTAGAAGCAGATTCGATAATAGCTTTAAACAGGGAATTGGATAGGTAAAAAGAAAATATTTACAGGGCTAAGGTAACAGCGGGAGATGGTTCGTAGATCTTTCAAAGAGCCAACACAGGCACGATGAGCTGAATGGCTTCCTTCTGTGCTGCAAGATTCTACGGTTCTGAAAGACCAGACAATGTTGGATTCAAAGAAAATGCCCTGATCTAATAATCTGGCAGATCAGACTAAATGTGAATAGACTCTGGCTGTTCTTAAGAGGAAATGATAAATCTACTCTTAGACTCTTAGTCAGTATATTGATTAAAACGTGTCATGAAGCAGCTGATTAATACTGAAACCGAGCAAAGCCAGATAATGGTTTCATTTGATACATGGCCCACAAAGGCAAAGTGTTTAAGCCAAAATTCCTGTCAAATGTAGTGACTATTTGCAGGCGTGATGCAGTTGCGATGTTCTGCTGGTGTTTGCATTCAATCAGTTTTCCCGAACAAACCTTTTGACTTATTTTTTTTTAAAAAACAATCCATGTCCGAAGCCATTTTTTCCCCCAGTTTGATTAATGTCAGAAGCTCCCTCGATTACACAGGCTAGGTTAAGGCGTGGATTCTTCCTGTAACCAGGACCAATGTGGCTCCATTGACAATTTGGCGGATTAAGCCAGAGGGATAAATAAAGCCTGTCATTTTTTTTTGATGAGATTCTGGCCAGTGAAATCTATTCCATCACTTCCAGTCACTCCGCCCCGAAACTCTGGAACACTTTGATCCCTCCGTCTTACCCCTCCTTCCCCAACTTCGACTATGCTCATGGAGACCTCCCCCAGTTCAGCTTCGTGCTCCGACACTACTACCCCCTCTGGGACGCTACCCTACACGAGGGGTGCTGTATAAATGCAAGCTGTTGTCATAATGTTGGAAACAGTCAATGTTTTGAAACCATAAGGAGGGATGAGCGTTTACACCCCCCCTCTCCCCCACTTCCCCCCACCACCACCCCCCCACTCCTTTCCAAACAGAAACCAAGGTCACAGCCATTGAAAACATATGGTAACCATTTTAATGTGTTTTTCTGAATATCTCTTAATACATTGTCCTTATTGTAAACAGTAGCAGATCATTAACAGGCTGTGGAGCTAATGCATAGTCTACTGCGTGACAGCAGCACAGGAAAGCCAAAGAATTGTCTCATTTAAACCAGTCAACCAATAATTTAACCATAGAAAAACTATCTTACATTATTTGACAGAATCACACGTGCCTAAACAGACCGAAACCAAATTAGGTATCAAAACACTCCTTGCTCTGTACACGTCTCATCTTTAGTCACCAGGGTTGACACTGGCAATGACCCACGTTCATTGGTCAATCAAACTCAAAAGATATATCCAGAGTGCTGTCTGACAGATTGACAGACCTTCCCCCCACCCCCGGCTGTGTGGGGGCAAAACACACTCTTGTCACTTGCTCCCTAGTCAAGACAATTAACGCCAGCTTCTCCCCAGTGGATGAGGGGTATAAAGGCAGCGTCCCACACACACTGCAGGGTCACAGGTTCATTTCTCAGTCTGTGCTGAGTTACCTATCTCAGCCAGGTAGCAGTCAGGACTCTCAGCGAGGTTGGGGTTGGGTGTAGGGGAAGAGATAATCACTAGAGTTCCTGTCAATAGTCTCCATTCAGTGATGCCCCCCAGCTAAGCTAAGCAGAAGTATTTACAGATTAGTGTAACATGTGGTATTGGCCGTTGGCCCAGCTGGGCAGGGAGAAAGGGAGAGAGACAGGTGTGTTTTATTGCATTAAAATTGTTAATTGGGTTGTAGGTCGTGACCAAAGATCACAAGGTAATAATAATAATCCTTGCATTTGATACAGCGCTTTATCACATCTTCGAGACTTCTCAAAGCACTTCATAGGATATACTGTAAAATGAATTGACTGTATATTTTGTGGTCGAAAAGCGGCAGCCAATTGCACACAGCAGTGTCCCACATAACAGTCATGGAATGAGTGACCAAATTATTACTATTGTTTTTTGAAGCGATTATTACACCTGGAAAGGCGATCCGCCAATCGACTAACAACCAGGTTCCTACTCTGCTACGTAAACAGAGGTGTTTGGAGTAAGGAAACTTGCCCAATGTTTAGCTGCTCGGGAATCAAACCCAGATCCTTTTGCTTGCGAAGTGAGCACTCTAATCACTATGCTACAGGACTCCACAGAGATTAGGTACATCCAGAGCCCCGGATTTCAGAAATAAAACATTCACACAAAGTCAAATCAATCACACATATACACAGAAAAGTCAACAACAGATACAATGAAGAAGGGTTCTTGCAGAATCCTGGACACCAGCCTGGACTGAGACACAGCCTCCCAGTGGAGATTGCACTGGGTGACATGTATTTTTTCCCTACACAAAGGGTACTGGAACTCTCTCCCTCCCCCAAAAGGCTGTGGATGCTGAATCCATTTACATTTTCAAGACTGAGGTGGATAGAGATTTGTTAGATCAGGGAATCACGGGATATGGGGCAAAGGCGGGTAATTGACCATGATCTAAGAGTGTTGGAACAGGCTCGAGGGGCTGAATGGCTTCCTCCTGTTCCTAAGTGTCTGAAAGGTGAAACCGCTCTAATGATTATCGATTAAAGATTAAGAGTTTCACTTGTACCTGGCTACTCACTGGGTAAATTCAATCAGCTGAAAGGTCAAAAGGAGATAGACTAAAATTCCAACATATGTACACAGAGCTTAGAGCGGAGGTTTCTGAGATTGGCAGGAGGCAACTTCCTCAGAAATGATTCTATGGACCCCCCCCAAGAGGTGGGACATAAAGAAAGATAAACGTCTCCGATCCGAAATAAAATCAAGAAATTCCGCAGACAACCAGCAGGTTAGTTAATCAACCCCTGCAAGAGATTTCAAAGCACAGGAGGCCGTCATCCAGCCCCTTGTGTCTGTGCTGGTACTCGCTCCCCCACTCCAGCTCTCTACTCTAATCCCATTCCCTGCTCTCTCCCTTTTGGTCTAACCAGCGTTCCGAGACCCTATCTCGGATGAAAGGCTCTGTATAAACGCAAGTTGTTGTAGTAATCCTGTACCCCGCTCTTCCTCTAAACCCTTTCGAACCATTAATCCTCAAATACTTTTCAATTTCTCTTTTCAATGGGCTTAATCTCCAAAGCCACTTGTGGCAAATAACCTTCCAAACAGAAGCAATTCCCTCCATCCTCGCCCTCAACTCTCCAGTGACAAACCGAGTTAATGCTCCAGCGACTGATTAACCCTTGGCTGGACATTGGTTATCAGTCACCGCAACTTCTCTTAAAGAAGATGTGAACTCCCACTGGTTCTCAGAAGTCAGACCCAAACAATGGACTTTCTCTCTCTCTCTCTCTCTCTCTCTCTCTAATTTCACACTCTCCTTTTCTCTCAATTTTCCCTTTCTTTGGTGTTTTCTCTCTATTTCAGCACCCCGGGACATCCTCCTGACGTGAAAGGCGCAATCCAAATATAATTTGTTATTGTTCTTTCTTTCTCTCTCTCCTTGACACTGACTAATTGACATGTTGAGTATGTCCAGTGTGAGTCAAGAGCCACTGAAATAGGCGCAAACAACAGTGGATTGAAACCAGGGAAATGACCAGCAATGGCCTAACCTCTCAGGTGCCATTTACCCACTGTCAGTGCAGAACTTGGGGCAGATTTCTGACAAACATCAGTTGCCGAAGCCCCTCCTCGGAGCCCCTCTGGCGGGTGACTGTGTCGCTTGGTCACTAGTTTGTTGGGAAAAGATGAATCGTAACAACAACCGTTACACATCACAGACTTTCCACCCCCTACACGGGCAGCAAGTCACACTGACCCGCCTGAACTACTGAGGCCTGGCCTTGCCCAACGGAGAGTTGCACACCCCTGCGCACACACATACACACACTACATATACTCACACGCTAACACACACACACAAACAGAACCACATATACTCACACACTCTCACACACAAACACACACATTCATCCCCTCCCCAACACACACACTCAGCCCCCCACTCCCTCGCGCACACCCTGCCCAGTCAGCCCTTCCTATAATGAGAGTGTCTATAGAGCCCAGTTCGCAGGGTTAAAGTGGAGCTCCCTTTATTTCAGCTATTCCCAGGGACGTAACAGATAAAGCATCTCACGGGAGGCATTTTATTCTGAGAGAAGCGATGCATAACATGCAGAGCAAGATACTTGAGATTTTGTGGTTAAGAGACACAGAGCAAGAGAGAGAGCGTTCTGTAACAGAAGAACTGAGTAAAGCTCTACAGTTCCTCCACACAAACAGCAGCAAAGGAGGGACCCCTAACACACCCCCAATGCCCCCACCCACACACACACCACACACACCCCTGCCCACACACACACAGACACACACACTCACTCCAGCTCGTTCCAGGTCGGCTCTCGAGACAAGGGACCCAGTTATTGATCAGCCGGTGAATTGTAGTCGACCGGGTCTTCAGGTAAGACACGACATCCAGAGCCTGCGAGACACACCGAGCGGGCGGCCAAGCGAGTGAGCGAGGAGATCGAACGAATAAAACACTCTTAATAATAATAAAAATAATCAGCATCGTCTTCACCAGCGTTAGTCGTTCTCTCAGTTTCATCACATTAAATTTCAACGCCGGAGCCTAGAACGTGGGTCCGAAACATCACAAAGTGCTTCACGGGGAGGCGACGGCGAGTGTAGTGACTGTGTGTTTGTAGGCGGTAGCAGCAAAAAAAAAAAAAAAAAACACGCACACACACGACGCTCAACCGTTAAAGCGACTCGGAGTGAGTTAGGCCGAATGCGGAACAAACCTGACGGTGTCTTGAAGCTTTTGGTTGACAACCGCCAGCACGGAGCGAGAGGAGAGAGAGCAAGCGAGTGAGAGCAAGTTGAGGGTCGAGCAGCCAGGCCGGGTGTGACCACGGGGCCGACACTGATCAGGCAGTGAGCGGAGAAGGAGACTGCGGATCACGCACAAAGCTGCTATTTAAGGTACAGGTCTCGGTGCAGACAAAGCAAGGCTGCTCCCCTATTGTAAAGTGGTTTTATTTGTGTGTTGGTGGGGGTGTGTTTGGTGGGTGAGTTGGTTGGTTGGTTGGTATTTTTTTTTTCACTCGGACATTTCCGCAGAATGATCCATGTGTCGCTGTCGCTCGCCGAGCCATTGCTGGATCTTCTCCCGCAGCTCAGCGTTGGGTTTGATCTGATCCATCGTCAGTGGGCTGCGGTTAAAGGGGTCCGTTTGGTCACTGGAAAGAGGAGGGGGGCGGGGAGGGCAGCAGAAATACAGCACATTAACAACAACTACAAATGACATTCACACAATGCCTTTCACGTCAGGAGGACCTCCCAAGGCGCTGGGCTGGATAGTCAGGGATTGGGACACGAGCAGGGATTTGGGATCAAGGAAGGGTGGAGGGCAGGGAGGGTGGGGGTAGGAGGGTGACCAAAGACGCGGGTAAAGTGGAGGGTCTTGATATGCCTTGAAGGAAGCAAGGGAGGGAGCGAGGAGAAGGGAAGGGGGTTCCTGAGGCTTATGGCCCAACCACCGATGATGGGGCAGGCTGGGCGGGAGACGTGTTCCCTACAGAACACGATCGCAAACAGAAAGAACTGATGTGTAATAATAAAAACATAAGAATTGCCAGACAAAGGAAGACCAAGGTCCATACAGTTCGCCTTCCACCATCCTGGCAGTCGCTTGTACATATAATATCCCAAATGATATACTGTATCTCAAGATATTGTTTCCTAAAAGGAATCTATCTGATAAAATAATGAATATTAATCTCTATAACTCCTCGTTGCAAATTGGAGATGGGCCATGATATAATAGAATGACGGAACAGGCTTAAGGGGCTGAATTATCTCCTCCTGTTCGTCTGTCCCAAACATCGTTATGATCTTATGGCCACATGACGTTTACACATGGAGCATTATTTCCACCCTCCCACCCTAAATCCCAATGGTAGAAACCCAGCTCCTTACCTGAGCAGATGTCTGGCTATGGTGGATCTGTCCACAGTGACCCGGGAGGAGGGAAGCATCACAGGGTCCATCATCACGGTGCTCATGATGGGGTCCAGAAACTCATCTGGGGCGTCTACATACGTCTCCTCTTCCTGCTGCTGCCGGTCTGCAAAAGACTGAGGCCAGAGAGCGGACGTTAGAGAGAATGATGCCAACCCCCCATTGGGTCCAAATCCCTGACTGTCCAGCGCCTTAGGACGGCCTCCCGACGTGAAAGTCGCTGTATAGATGTCATTGTTGTTGTTAGCCCCAGGGAGACCTCACCCCAAGCTGAGGAGAATTCACATTCGCCTACAAATTACCCAGTCATTTTATAGTTATATTCTATCAAGCGTTTTGAGATATCCTGCTGAAGATGTGATAAAGCACTGTATGAAAGGATTAGTAATATTATTATTTTTCCAATTTCCTCCCCACTCCGCTTTACAGTCTATCCTGTGAAGCACTTTGCGGCGTCTCCACGACCTGATAAGGCGCTGTATCAAATGCAAGGATTATTTTTATTTTTATTAATTAATTATGGACAGTCTGGTCATTCTATACAGTTGGCATGATGCGAGCGGGTGACCTTGACATGACTTTGGCGTGACTTACTTTCACTTTCTCGGCCAAGTCGCTGAAGGCCACGATCATGTCTCCCGGTTTGTTGATCTTCTTCAAGACACGTACGGTCTGAGCAAAGAGGGTGGGCGAGTAGGAACGTCCGTCCTTGGGCACCGTGGCACAGAAACTGTCCCGCTCGCTAGAACGAGAGGAGGCGACAGTCAGGACATTTTTTAAAATATATATATATCTATATATATGTAAAATCAAAAGATTTTGCTCGGTTCTTGATCCACTAAGAGACTTCCTAAGATCAGGTCCCGGGGTTTGGGTGTCCACATTGTGGTGTTAGCTGGTTAGACTCCAGCAGTTACACCCAACGCACACTCTGGGGATCCCCCCCAAGCCTTGGCTCTCGTCAACCTGCAGCCTATTACTCTCCGGTATTAGGTAAGCAATTGGGAAGAGTCCCTCCAGGGAGAGCGAGAGACAGAGAGCGCATTCCATTCCAACAATCTATCGCGGGGATTTCCATGTGTGGGTGACATGCCTGGAATTCCCAGTTTGGTTTGGACATTCACTGTGTCAAGACTGCGGTGTTCAGCTGTTACTCAGGTCAGGGCATCAAGGGATATGGGGGTAAGGGCGGGCAATTGGAGTTGAGGTACCGATCAGCCATGATCTAATAGAATGGCAGAACAGGCTCCAGGGGCTAAACGGCCTACTCCTGATCCTAAATTGACTTTGAACCCAGCAGCAACACATAACCTTCTAATCCGGGTCTAGCGCTGAACTGGCCAGAATATGAGCCCCCTACAGCACCTCCCCCCACCCCCTACCACCCCCCGACCTTGTGTGGCCGAGCCGTTTCACTTACCCCAGGTTCAGGTAGATGGTGCAAATGTCTGAGACCAGCTGTTGTGGTTTGAAGTCGAACTCGCTGAAGTCCTTAACTTTCAGGGCTCCCATTTTGGGCCCCACCAGGTGCTGAAGGAAGTAGTTTAACATAGAGATGATCCTCTCGGACAGCACCGGTGCCACAAACAGGGTCTTGATTTCTGTCGGAGAATCAAACCACAGAGCAATCGTCACCGCACTGGGCGCCGTGATAAAAGCCACGGTCACCCTCCACTCGGCAAAGCACGGCAATCTCCATCAAGTGTAGTGACTGTGTATTTGTCAACAAACCACCTCGATCCCTCCCAAACCAGGCAAGTATTGTTATGGACCCAGCCTTCACGTAGGTCTACTCTATCTTATTAAACTGAGGCGAGAGTGTGGCTTTCAGAGTTTCTGAGCACAGGCTCACTGGGACACACACACAGCCCCCTCCTCACCTGGTCTATGCTCCTGGGAGCGGGAGGAGGAGGGAGGTAAGCATGGTCTCCTTGGAGCTGAACTGGAGATCCCACTTCCCTCCCACTTCCCCACCTCCCCCAAGAAGGATAGTTGAACAGAGTCCAACGTGACACATTTGGCAACGGAATCGAGTTTCTATTCCAGTTCCTGAGCCAGGCAGGTCAGTCCGCAGTATTCCAGCTGCTGACAGCGCAGCCCAGCCTGACTCATCAGCAGGACAGGAAGGGCAGACCAGTCACTGGGGGCAAGGAGTCATCCCATTCAGCTCCTGTTAACCCTGCAAGCCAAAGCCTAACGGGTAGGGTGGCCCTAGATGAACAAGCAAGCGTAGGGGGACAGACCCCTTGAGCTGCGAACCTGAGCTGAGGAACGTCAGGGTGCCGATGGTCTCGTTGGACATGATGTTGTGGAAACGCGCCAGCTGCCCGAACAGCTGGAGGCTGGTATCCTTCTCCCTGCGAGCCTCTGGGGCCAGCCCGTCCCACTCCCCTCTGTCCCGCTCGATTTGCTGGATTTTAATCTTGCTCAAGTACTGCGGGAAACAACAACAAGTGTAGTGACTGTGTATTTGTCGGCAAACCCGCTCAATCCCTCCCAAACTAAATGAGTATTAGCCATCCTTTGGGCACGTGCTTACGTTCACCTCCCCCCTCTCCTCGGCTCGTTGCCCGACTCCGCCACTGTGAAGCGCTCCGGGACGCTATCCAGCATAGAGGGCCCTATATAAATGCAAGTTGTTGTTGTTGGGTAGGTCTCTCCCATCGCTTGTTAAACTCAAGAGGCAAGAGGATATAACAAAAAAACTTGCAGTTTTGTTTCACCCTCAAAAACATGGTAAGTTATCTCAACAACAATTTGCATTTACACAGCGACCCTCACTCACATAGGGTAGCGCCCCAGGGCGTTTGACAGTGGTGGAGCAAGGCATCAAGCTGGGGGAGGTGCCCGTAGGCACCGTCGAAGAGGAAGGTCTTCAGGCGTGATATGAAGATGGGGGAGGAAGGGAGAGGGCAAGCCGGAGGGATTGAGGGAGAGAGTTCCAGAGTTCCGGCGTGTAGTGGCTGAAAGCGCGGCCTCTGATGGTGGAGCGGAGGAGGGCAGTGGGTACGCGGGTCAGAGAGGTACGGAGGTCATGGGTGTAATAAACCACTGTGAGGGTTTATTACGGAGACAAACGTGCCTCAGGCGCAGGTTACCTGGATAGCTTCATCCAGCAGGAAAATGGCGTCATTGATGAGTAGGTTGAGGAAGCGAAGGAAGAGTGGAGGGTTCATGGCCTCCAGGTTGTCACAGGCGTAGTCAGCCAAGTTCTGAACCACAAGAATAAACAACAATATAATTTTGAAAATAACAACATCAACTTGCATTTGTGTAGTGTCCTTCACCCGGGATAGAGTCCCGGAGCGCTTGATATTAAAATAATATTGCTTGCATTTGATCTAGCAGCTTATCACGTCTTTGAGACGTCTCAAAACGCTTCACAGAATATACCTTTGTAGGTCAAACGCGCACAGCAGTGCACCACGAACAGTCGTGGATTGAGTGACCAAATGATTATTATTTTTATTTTTTTTTGAAGGGATTATTACCCCCGGAAAACAATCCACCAAAATCGACTAATACGTGGGTTCCTACTTACTGCTGGTAAACAGGGGCGTTTGGAGTAAGGAAACTTGCCCAATATTTTGCCCTGCCCAGGAATTGAACCCAGGTCCTCTCGCTTGCAAGGCGATGGTTCTAACCACTAAGCTACAGGACTCCACGAGGTAGTGATGGGATGAAATTCCCGACTCCACGAAGACGGCACAAACACAGCGGAAAACAAGGGTCCGTCCAGGCCAGCGATGGAGTACACACAAGCGCGCACGAGCGGAAGCTTTGCAGAGAGCTGCCGGTCTGACAGACACACACCTTAATGCTCTGCCTGTAGTTCTCCAGGCCCCACATGTACCGCAGGATGGGGTACATCGGCCGCCTGTAGTTAAACTTCTGCTCAAACTGGTGAGGGTCGCCTGGCAACACAGGGGGTGTCAGCATCACGGAGACAGACATGGAATAGACAACAACAAGAACAACTTGCACCTCACGAAGGGCTATGTCTCGGAGCGCTTGACAGTGGCGGAGCACGATGCCAAGCTGGGGGGAGGGAGGGGGAGGTGACCATAAGCACGGTCAGAGAGGAAGGTCTTCAGGCAGCGAATATGAAAGGGGGAGAAAGGGGGCAAGGCGGAGGGATTGAGGGAGTGAACACTCACACACACACCCTCAGCTGTCACACACACCCAGACACCCACATAAACAACCTACCTGTGAATTCGATGTCCACAAAGACCTCGATGAGAGCCTGGGCCAGGTGCGGTGCGTGCTGGTAGGAGCAGAAGACGCGCTCGCGGTGGAACAGGCTGGAGGTCAGCGAGTTTTGTGTCGGCTCCAGGTGAGGCATCACTGCCTCCAGCACCTCAGCCAACTTCGCCCGCAGGTGAGGGTTCTTCATCCTGTGAAGTGACACGCAGGCTTACAGATTATTAGAAAAGGATTATTATTACGTGAATACGCAAACTGACCCACTAACGTACACCTCGCACTTCATACAGCGCCTTATCACCTCTTCGAGACTTTTCAAAGCGCTTCACGGAATGTATTGTGAAGTGCAGTGACTGTGTATCGTGTGGGCGAAACACGCCAGCCAATTGCACACAGCAGTGTCCTACAAACAGTCGTGGATTGAATGGCCAAATTATTATTATTTATTTATTATTTTTTGGAGGGATCCAGAAAGCGATCCGGCAATCAACTAACAAGTGGGTTCCTACTTACTGCTCGGTAAACAGAGGCGAGTGGAGTAAGGAAACTTGCCTCCGATTTTCCCCTGCCTGGGAATCGAACCCAGGTCCTCTCGTTTGCGAGGCGAGTGCTCTATCCACTACGTAACAGCACTTCCTGACGCAACTAACATACACCTCAAATGAAATCCTTTTAAAAAACACAGGAAACCACTAGTGAGAGGGGAGCCCGACCGGGAGGAGAGAGATATTGGCCAACAGGGAAATCAGAAGGCAATTAGAGACCAAGTTAGCCACTCCGCGAGGCGAGAGACTCGTTAGCGTCTGGAATGCTTTGCCTGAAATGGTGTTGGAAGTAGATTTGATACTCGCTTTGAAAAAGGAATTGGATAAGTCGAAGAGGAGGGTCTTGAGAGAGGCCTTGAAGGAGGCAGCGGAGAGGAGGTGAGGCGAAGGGATTGTGGGATGGAGTGTCTCTCCCCCCATCACCACACACACACACACAATACACAGTTGCTCTCAAACTCCATCAAAATTTTATACAACATTCCAGTATTTACAATATTTCCTGTGAAGTGCTTTGTGACCGGATGAGGCTATATAATCAAAAGGGAATTGGGTAGAGGGAAGAAGGAAAAATGTGTGGGGCTATGGGGTAAGAGCGGGTGGGGAGTGCGTGGTGGGGAGTGGGACTAGTTGGTAGCTTTTTCAAAGAGTCAGCAGAGGCCCGATGGGCCGAATGGCCTCCTTCTGTGCTGTAAGACTCTATGATTCTAGAAGACCCACCTCTCCACGTTGCCCATGAAGACGGTGACAAAGTGCAGGATGTGCTCCAGCGAATCGCCTGCCGTTTCTAACACCTCATCCGCAAAGCGCCGCAGGAAGATGAAAAAGTCGCCCAGGTTGTCGGCAAAGAACTCTGTGGGGAAACACAGCAAAGTGAGTCGTCACAGCCCGTGCCACACAGCGTCAAACCACGTCACGGCACAGCACAGCCATCACACAGCAGGCACCTCGCGCCTGGCGGTGGGAAAATTCCCAACTGCAATCGGCCTTGCTCCTCCCTACGTCCGTGATCCACTAACCCCCTACCAACCTGTCCGCTCTTGCCGCTCAGCGGGCTCCAACCTGCTTCACGTCCCCCACATTGCCCGCCGCACCATCGGCTGGTGGGCCTTCAGTCTCTCTGCCCCCACCTTCTGGAACTCCATCTCACAGACCCTCCGCCTCACCCCCTCCCTTCCTTCAAGAACCACCTCAGGACCTTCCCTCCTCTTCATCCTCCTGAGGATCCATGACTGTTTCGGGATGTCCTCCTGAGTGAAAGGCGCTGTGTGTAAATGTAATTTGTTGTGGTCAGCCCGCAACCCTGTTCTCCAGGAATCGGTGAGTGGGGAAGAGATTATTATTATTACGATTCTTATTACCCCCTGGAAAGCGATCTGGTAATACACTAACAACCGGATTTCCTGCTTACTGCTTGGTAAACAGAGGCGTGTGCGCAGAGTAAGGAAACTTGCCTAATATTTCGCCCTGCCCGGCCAGGAACGGAATCGAACCCGGGTCCTCTCGCCTGCGAGGGCGAGTGCTCGAAGATATAAGATATGGGACTCAGTAGTCTCTCTGCGCAGGTGATACCCACCCACCCCCCGCCCCGTCTCGTGGTGCTGTGAGGGTCTTGTGGCACACACACACACACAGAGAGCACTCTTCGTACCTGGGACATGTGCCAGGGGACAGTATTCCAGGGGGGGCAGAGGGAAGGCCACGGGCAGGTAGCCGGTGCCATGGCTGCCCAGGGCAAACTGCACCAGGATGGTGGCTGTGGAGACCTGTAGGTTCACGCAGTTCTGCAGCATCTGGGGTTCGGTGGCAGCGGCTTTGGTGGACAGATAGATGGTCATCAGCCGCTCAAACTGCTCCCTCAGGCCCTCCGCCGCGGCGCTGGAAGATTGCTGGGCGTCTCGCCACGCCATCTGCAGCCGGTGCAGGTTCTGGTTCATCTTCACCATCTGGTCGTGTAGCCTGCCACAGCAACGTGGGTGAGACATAACGGTGGGCACATGCAGAGACAGAGAGAGACTGGGGGAGGACAGACAGACAGAGACCGGGGGAAGACAGACAGAGAGAAGACAGACAGAGAGAAGACAGACAGAGAGAAGACAGACAGAGAGAAGACAGACAGAGAGAAGACAGACACAGAGAAGACAGACAGAGACGGAGGGAGACAGGGGGTGTTCTGTGGCTCTGTACCTGTGGAAGCCCAGGTGTAAAGTGTACTGTGTCAGGATTAAATTCTCCGTCACTAAGTTGTAGGTTTCGGCAAATGTGGGCTCGAAGTCCGGGGGCAGTGACATCAGAGCCGTCTCCTTGTCCAAACCTAAGGCAACAATAACAACAACACATTACATTTACACAGCGCCTTTCACATCGGGTGATATCCCAAGGCACTGGACAGTCAGGAATTTGGACCCGAGCTGGGGGTTGGGATCAGGAGTGGTGGAGGGCAGGGAGGGTGGGGGTAGGAGGGTGGCCGAAGGCGAGGTTGAAGAGGAGGGTCTTTAGACGGGACATTGAAGGAGTCAAGGGAGGGAGTGAGGCGAAGGGACTGAAGGATGGATATAGAGCCTTATAACATCCTTGAGACGTCTTCAGAGAATTATAGTGTAAAGTGACTGTATTTTGTGGGAGAAACGCGGCAGCCAACTCACACGGACAGAGAGAGGGATCGACAGCCGGACCGACAGATAAGTGCCCCACACCCTCCTCACACAGAGAGCACCCAACCCCCCATCCGCACCTACCTTTGATGTGAACGTTCCTAGTTCTACGTTCCTCCTCGTTCAGCTCCTTGAGGGCGCAATAGGTTGGGTTGAAGGTGAGCAGCTTGAGAGAGTGAGGCCGGCAGAAGGGTTGGCACAGCTTTAGGAGGGCGGCGCCGAGGTTCACGAAGAAGGTATCCGAGGCGTACATTTGGAGGAAGAGTTCGGGCATCTGATTGGCCCAGATCTTGGTGCGGCCGGCGTTGGCGAACAGACAGTGACCGAGCCAGGACAACAGCCGGTGTTTGGTGCCCGGTGAGAGCTGGATCAAGTTACGGAGGATCTGATGGATCTTGTCGTGATATTGAGCCATGAACTGCGGGACAGGCAGAGAGAGAGAGAGAGAGAAAAACAATAATATTAATAATGATAATCTGGTCATTCAATCCATCACTGTTTGTGGCACACTGCTGTACACAATTGCTGTCCCCTTTCTCCCCCTCTCTCTCTCTCCCCCTCCCCCTCACCCCGCCCGGTGTGTTCGCTTCCCCTACCCTCACCTGGTGAATGCTAGCTTCCTGAACCTTGATCTCCTGAGGACTGGTGCGAGAGGGATTCAGAAAGTAGGAATGGTTCTCCACTAATCCCGGGGTTTTCAGGAGGCAGGAGATGTTCAGGATGCTTCCCAGCAACGTTTTCTGGTACAGATTCCCGTTACTGAGGTCCTGGGGTTGAATGAAGTCTAGGAAAACCTGTCGGAGTGATCACAAGTTGCTTAACAATAATACTAATAAGGCGTTTTGAGACACCTCGAAGACATAAGGCACCATATTAAATGTCAGCCATTTGATATAGCACCTTATCATGTCTTCGAGACAACAACAAAATTACATTTGTATAGCACCTTTCATGTCAGGAGGTCATCCTAATTACTTCGCACAATTTTACTGTAAAGCGTAGTGACTGTGTATTTTGTGGGCCAAACGCAGCAGCCAATTGCGCACAACAGCGTCCCTCAAACAGCCGGGGTTTGAGTGACCCAAATTATTATTTTTTTAAAATAATTTTACCCACGGAAAAGCGATCCGCCAATCGACTAATAACCGGGTTCCTACTTATTGCTGAGTAAACAGAGGCGTCAGTGTGGAGTAAGGAAACTTGCCTAAGGTTTCGTCCTGTCCAGGAATCGAACCGACTTGCGAGGCGAGTGCTCTAACCACTACGCCACAACTCAACAGGTCAGAACTAAAGCCTAGCCATATCAACCTGGTCGCAGGACAACAAAAACAACAATAAATGACATTTACACAGCGCCTTTCACTTCAGGAGGACGTCCCAAGGCCCTGGACAGTGAAGGACCTGAGCTGGGGGTTGGGATCAGAAGGGGTGGAGGACAGGGAGAGGGAGAGTAGGGGTAGGGTTACGAGGGTGACATCTGCAGCTCACAAGCTATCAAATACGGTCACTAAGTGACTACAATTGCGCAGTAAAGGTCTGTGTTTCACCTCACAAATCCTTTGAGATGAGGCCCTACATCAAAACTAAGGGGCTTTGCTAAGTGCACGCGAGCACATTAATGTAGGTTTAACCTTTACCTGTGCCAGTGTGGGCTGCCGCGTGATGAACAGGAGGATATCCAGGTAGTTGTACAACAGGACCTGGCAAAGTTCCATCTCCCGTACGCGCTCCATTAACATCTCCAGCAATGGAAACATCACTTCGTTCAGGGTCCTCACCTCCTCGTCCACCTTTAAGGCATTTACCACATCGTCGACGAACTCCGCCACCTCCTCAAAGTCTGAGCGAAGGAAGGAAGCGGCAGAACCTTACAGACCCGTCACACTGAAATGCCTCAAAGCGCTTCAGTGCGGAAAACGGGAGAGAAGAACAACAAGAAGCTCAACTTCCCACCAATGGAGGGGGGGAAATGGTGTGAGCGCGTGATTGTACGCTTACAGGCATGAACGCTGTAAGATTAATAACCCTCGCATTTGATACAGCGCCTTATCCCGTCTTCGAGACGTCTCAAAGCCCTTCACAGAATATACTGCAAAGTGAATTGACTGTGTGTTTTGTGGGCGAAACTCGGCAGCCAATTGCGCACAGCAGCGTCTCACACAAACAGTCGTGGATTCAGTGACCAAATTATTATTATTATTTATCTCCGGAAAAGCGATCCTTCAATTGACTAACAACCGGGTTCCTACTTACTGCCAGATAAACAGAGAGTAAGGAAACTGTGCCTAAGCTTTCACCCGACCCAGGAATCGAACCCGAGTCCTCTCAGCGTGTGAGGCTACAGGGAGTCAAAGAGCTTTGTTGTAGATGGAAATCCCTCTGTGTCCGCGACCAGCAGCGACATTCAAGATGGGGAACCATACAGCAAAACAACAAATTACATTTGTACAACATCTTTTACATCGGGAGGACGTTCTATGGCACTGGTCCTTCCCGTGCCCCCCCCTCCAACACACCCGCGCCCCCCACTCAGGATAGGACTCACTTGGCCCATTAATCCCAAGCATCAGGTCCAGGAGCTCGGCGCAGATGTTCTGGTTGATGTAGATCTCTGGGGTGAGGAGGGCTGTGTGAGCGTTGATCACCGTCAGCTCCTTACACTTCACCGCGAACGGCAGCAGCAGCTCAGGAACCTTCGTGATCTGTCTCCGGATGCGCAAGAGAGAAAGAGAGACAGAGTGTGAGAGTGAGAGAGGGTGGAGAGTCAGTGAGAGAGTGAGAGACAGAGTGCGCGGACTGTGTTTCACTTCAGATCTGGCCTCTCCGCGGGAGCAAAGAAAGGAAAACAGGACCGTGGAAAATGGGAGCGAAGTCTGTGATAAACAGTGAACAGCTCAACGACCCAACGACAACAACAGTAGCGACCCAGAGCTACGGCGGGACATGATGTGCGAGAACTACCGCTCGCTTACAGGGCTCAGGGCTGGACACTGGAGGATTGACGACATGGTTGAGTGTGCGCGGGTGAGCGTAGGGTAAGGATAGGATCAGCCTTAATCACACAGGATGCCAACCATATAGCCAAAATAATTCAGATATAAAATAATTCAGTGGCCAAAATAATCTGGTGGCCCCATCCACCCTCGCACACACACGCACACTTCTCTCCCAACCCCACCGCACGCTTCCCCCACCTCCGCACACTCTCCCCACCTCCTCACACTCTCCCCACCTCCTCCCACACACACACACACACACACCCACAAACTCCAATTAGAATCACAGACGACATCAGCAGCCGAACGAGGATGGAGAAACCATGGCCGTCAGTGAACTAAGACCCACCTCTTCCTTCGCTCTCCGAAAGCAATCGAAGAGATACTTGACGATGTCCCTCTCGCCCGCGTCACGGTCCGCGGAGAGGTTGAGGGCGTTCGCTGTCGTCATGGAGATCAGATGGGACTCAGGGTTCTCGAGCAACATCCGATTGAACAGAGCCTGTGACAGGAGAGAAACAGGTCCCAGTCAGGCCAAACCCGTACTAAACAGGGAAGCCAGAGTCCTGTAGAGTAGCGGTTAGAGCGCTCGTCTCGCAAGCAAAAGGATCCGGGTTCGATTCCCGGGTCAGGGCAAAGCCTTAGGCAAGTTTCCTTACTTCCCACACATGCCTCCGTTCACCTGGAAATACGTAGGAATCCGGTTGGGCACTCAATCCACGACTGTTTGTGGGATGCTGCTGCGTTTCGCACACAAAATATACAGTCACTACACTTTGCAGTATATTCTGTGAAGCGCTTTGAAATGTCTCAACGACGTGATAAGGGGCTGAATCAAACGCAACCAAATTTCCCGCCCTCACCACCCTCTCCCCCACATCAGTCTTAAAACCTCTTTGACCGCACCTATGGTCACCACCGACCCCCCCACCACACGCCACCCCACCCAGGCTCGGTGTCCAGCTCCCCCCCCCCCAACCACCACCTCCTCTCTCACTGTAAAGCTGCTGTGAGGGGAGGAGGGAGATGTGCCGTTACCTGCTCCACATTTCTCATGTCCAGCCAGTCCTGTCCGTCCAGATCAGACGCCATTTCCCCCAGGAAGACACAACGCTGTGGGATTCCATTCTCGTCCTTCGGGCTGGGCTCACCTTAAACACACACACACCACAGCGGCCATCAACACACACACACACACACACACACACACTACACTCACCCCAAACACGGCACCTTATACAAATGGAAATTTGTTTAATTTGCCGATGTTGTTCCACAACACAATTGTGGAACTGCTTTCCAGGGGTAATAATCCCTTCAACAATCCCCACCCTCACCCCACCACCAAAAAAAAAAAAAAAAATGCTTTGAACAAGAATGATAATTTTGTCAACTCAATTCACACCAGTTTCTGCGACGCGGCTTTTCGCTCACAAAATATACAGTATATCCCGTGAAGTGCTTTGAGACGTAAGGCGCTGTAGCGAGTGCAAGGATTATTATCATCGTTATTATTTAAAGCGCCACTCGTGCAGGGTAGCGTCCAGGAGCTGAACCCAGAGGCGAGCGCGCGAGTGACTGAGAGAATACCACGAGGCAGTTTTTCACTCAAAGGCTAATCGGAATCTGGAATTCTCTCCCTCCACCAAAAGGTTATCGCTGAATCCATTCACATTTTCAAGACTGAAGTAGATAGATGTTTGTCAGGTCATCGGGGGATATGGGGCAAAGGCGGGTAATTGCAATTGTGGTACGGATCAGCCGTGATTTAATAAAATGGCGGTACAGGCTCGAGGGGCTGAATGGCCTCCTCCTGTTCCTATGTGTGTCAGACACTCACTGTTGTCCAGAGTGATGAGGAAGATGCGCTGCAGCATGTGGTTGATGTTGAGCTGCTCAAAGATCTCCTTCTGCGAGCGGAAAGCCCGGTCCACCTCGGCAAATGAGTCCTCATTGTCATAGCTCCCGGACACACTGCTGCCCGAGTCCTGATTCTCATCGTCGTCCTCTACCAGAGAGAGAGAGAGAGAGACACAGAGGGAGGTCACTACATCAGTAGTAAGCGTCTACATGTATAGTAGACTTGTGCCTTGGGGACACCCTCCCGACTCGAAAGGCGCAAAACCAATGTAGTTTTGTATTGTATTGCGCACCTCGTCTCTTCTTCCCCACCCCACTCCCCTCCCCTCCTTCTCCCCCCTCCTCCTTCCTCCATCCCTCCGCTCGCGCTCTCCCGCCGTTGCCGCTCTCCCCCCCCAATTGCCCCTCTCCCCCATCCTCCCCCTTTCTCTCTCTCTCTCTCGCTCTCTCTCTCTCTCGCAGACATGCTGGAGTCAGGCTGGACTAACCTCTCTGGACGAAGTGCTGACGCTGAACAGAAGCGAACTGCTTGGCATCGGCCAGAGAGCTGAAGAGAGCTGCGAAGGGGTTGTTGGAGATGTTATTGTTGTTCTCCTGGTCTGTCATTTCTCTTCAGAACCAGCTCCATCCAGCTCCAAACAGACTCTGAGGAAAATAAACACACGCCCCACAAGCTGTTGAGTCCTGTAGCTCAGTGGGTTGGAGGAAACGAGGGAACCCGGGTTCGATTCCCGGGAGGGGCGAAACTTTCGGGAAGTTCCCTCACTCCACACACCTCCGGTCACCTCGCTTTAGTAGGAACCCGGTTGTTAGTCAACTGTTTTTTCTAAAGCAATGTGTAATAAATAATAATAATAATAATAATATGTTCACTCAATCGACCACTGTTTGGGGGACACTGACTCTGATGTGCGTAATCGGCTCCACTTTTCACCCACAAGTTTTTCCTTTTTTTTTTTTACGGACCTATTCTAATCCCATTTTGAAGGTTACTGTGGAATCTGCTTCCGCTCTCCTTTCAGATATCGCATTCCAGACCCCAACAACTCACTCGCTCCGACGGGACACTTTTTTTTTTAATCTTACATCTGCGTCCTCTGGTTATCGACCCCCATCGTCCTTCTTAACGCGGTACAAATGTATTCTTGTTGTTGTTGTTGTTGTTAACTCTATAATCCTACCTCCCCTCTCTGTCCGACAGACATAGCCACAGACCCTGGTGCATACAGCGTATACTCAGTGTATATAGTGTACACACGCGCACCATACAATACAGCAGTGATTGTACTAACAGTGTATATACGCAGAGTACAATGCAGATACTCAGTCTATATACTGTGTACGGAATACAGTGTATATACACAGCATAATGCACAGTGTAGTGAACAAACACAGTATACGGTGTACATGATGCACAAGAGTACACACACAGCTTAGTGTACAGTGTATAAACACAGTGTATAAACACAGTGCAGTGTACTCACAGCCGACAGTCCAGAGCGCACAGTATACAGTAGTGTACACACACAGTACACAGTGTATAGATACACAGCACAGAAGACATATACACACACAGTCACACACACAGTCACACACAGTCACACACACACATACAGACACACACACACAGTCACACACACACACACACACACACACACACACAGTCTCACACACACAACAGTCACACACACAGTCACACACAGACAACACAGTCACACACACACACACACACACACAGTCACACACACAGTCACACACACACAGTCACACACAGTCACACACACACATACACACAGTCACACACAGTCACACACACACACGGAGCCGCACACTCCGGTGGCCCCGCGGGTCGGGCCCTGAGGTCGGGGCTGAGGCACTGCTGTACCTGCGGCTGCGGGAAACCCAGGGCCCGGCGCGGCCTCCCCAGCCTTAAAGGGGAAGGCCACCCCCTCAAAGCCTTAAAGGGGAAGGCCACCCCGCCCAGCCTTAAAGGGGAAGGCCACCCCTCCAAGCCTTAAAGGGGAAGGCCAGCCAGCCAGCCTTAAAGGTGCAGGCCACCCAATGCCATCCGTAAAGGGGCAGAGGGCTCAACGCAGTGTTAAAGGGGCAGCACCTAAAGTCATTCAATGGCTTCAGGAAAGGCGGGAAAACAACAATAATAATAATAGTAGTAATAGTAATATTGGTGGGAATTAATGAGTTTGAGTTGGAAACAGAAATCTGATTTTAACCATCAAAATGCACAATCCGGTAACGTTGATAGCCTTATGTGCTGGAATGTCGGCAGTCCAGACGTCTCCCCGCGGGTCAGTCTGCACCAAAAACAAAGCTTTTCGGAATAGCTCGACAGCCCCAAAGGGCCTCCTCCCAAAACCTCCTCTCGCAGTCTTTCCTGAAGACTAAACCTGTCATATTACCAATTTTTACCCAGAGTGTTGTTGTGGTCTGGAACGCACCGCCTGAAAGGATGGTAGAAGCAGATTCAATAATAACTTTCAAAAGGAGATTTAAAAAGGAAAACATTTGGGATAAGAGCAGATGGAGTGGGACTTGTTGCTACGTCTTTCAAAGAGCTGGCACAGGCACGATGGCCAGAATGACCTTCTGCGCTGTAAGATTCTATGATTACCTGGGAGCGAGATTCAGGCTGTAAACCAACTGAGAGGTTGTTCAGGAGGACGGTTTATACAGAGAGAACAACCCGGGAATGAATTACAGGCTGGAAAATAATCCAAGGATTTGGGCAGGTTTATGAACGTATTCCTGGAGTGAGTCGCAGGCTGACAGGTCAGTGAATCAGAGATGATGCAATTCACTGAAATACCAACTGTGGGTATTTTATTCCCAACAACACATTACATTTACACGGCGCCTTTCACTCACATCGGGAAGACATCCCAAGGCGCTGGACAGTCAGGGATTTGGACCCCAGCTGGATGTTGGGATCAGGGGGGATTGGAGGGTGGGGGTAGGAGAGTGCCTTGGCCATGATTGAAGAGGAGCATCTTGAGACAGGCAAGGGAGGGAGCGAGGTGAAGGGAAATGTGGGATGGAGTTCCAAAGGGTGGGGGCAAAAAGGCTGAAGGTCCGACCACCGATGTTGAGCGGAGGGAGCGGACAGGTTGATATGGCGTTAGCGGGTCACAGAGGTAGGAAGGGGCAAAGCCATGGAGGGCTTTGGAGGCTTCAACCAAAATCCCAACACTTACAGGCTTGTAATTACGGACTGCCGGATAAAAAATATGACCAAACACATTGATACCATTGCAATAATCTGTTTATTGTCAGCTAGCGCATTATAGATATATATTAAAATATGATCAGCAAGGACTTCTTCAGTACATTTTGTTTTACAAAAATAGCAGCACGTCATTGAAATATCATTGAAAAAAAATAACAATTTGGTTGCTCAATCCATGATGCTTGTGGGACACTTCTATACGCAATTGGCTGCCGTGTTTCGGCCGCAAAATACACAACAACAACAAGATTTCATTTATAGAGCGCCTTTCACGTCAGGAGGACGTCCCGAGGTGCTGTACAGTTGGGTCGGGACCCGAGCATTGGGGGTAAATGGTCAGGGTGAGGGGAGGGAAGGGAGCGAGGAGGGGGTAGAGAGTCGAGAGGGGAGCTGAAGGCTGAAGGTCAAAGAGAAAGGTCTTGAGACCGGCCTTAAAGGAGAAAAGGGAGGAAGCGGCGAAGGCACTGGGGATGGAGTTCCAGAGCCTCGGGGCTGAGAGGCTGAAGGCCCGGCCACCGATGGTAGGGCGGTTGGGGCGGGGGATGTGGAGCAGACCGGAGCCAGAGGAACGGAGGTTACGGGCAGGTATGTGGGGGGATAGTCGGTCGGAGAAGTAGGAGGGAGCGAGGCCGTGAATGGCCTTGTAGGTGAGGATGAGGATCTTGAATTCGAGTCACTACACAGTCACTACACTTTACAGTATATTCTGTGAAGCGCTTTGATGTGAAAAGCACTATATCAAAAGCAAGAACTATTATTATCATTACTGTAAAGTGAATCGACTGTATATCTTGCGGGCGAAAGGCGGCAGCAGCGCTTCCCCCCCACAGACAGCCGTGGATTGAAGTGACCAAATTATTATCACAGTTCTATTTCGATTACGTCTGCTACTTGCAGAAGTACACGGGGGAGGAAAGAATTTCATAGGAATTTCCAGATCTCGATGATTTATTCACTGGAAGGAAACCACTGCCAGGCACTAAATGTGCAACACCCCTCTCAAAGGGACAACTTGACCTCCAGGAGGATAGCCGGTGAGGGCAGTGCGCCAACTGCGAACCTTCGAAGGGGCGACACGCTTACCGACGGCCTGAAAAGGATTGGAAGGGTCCACATCCCTTGAATAATTAAAGACAAAATGGGACCTTCGTTTCTTTTTTTAAACCCCCTTCTCAATCAAAACAAAAGGGATGAAATGCTTCACTTGGCCGCCGCGTCTCGCCCACCGATACACACAGTCGATTCACTTTGCGGCATCTTCGGTGAAGCGCTTTGAGACGTCTCGAAGGTGGGATAAGGCGCCGTCTCAAATGCCACAAAGAGGGTGTGGGGCTCAGAGTGCATCATGTGGTGCAGTTACCTCACTGCTCCACCAGGCGGCGCAGTGGGGTGACTGCTCCACAATACTGTCCAACAGCGCCTCAGTTTATCATCTGTACTAATCTTATTATTATTATTATTATATTATACTATAATTGTACTGTCTGCCCTCCAGAAGGATCTCAATAACCAACTTGACGTAGAGACGTGATTTATACGTACCTCACCGGAAAGGTTTTGTACTGGGAGTGACACGGGCATATTTGCTTGCAGGCATCTCCAGTCATTTTCAGTTTTGCGCTGGAGTGGCCACGCCGGCTGACCGTGGCGCTTTGGCAACCGGCGTCACGGAGCACGCGCGTAGCCGGGGCGGCGGGAACAAAATAGGGAACACGGACGAAGCTGAACCGCGGCGGCAACGACAACAAAATTACATTTTTAAAACGCCGAGTCCTCCGAGATGAGGACGGACGCAGATCTGGGTGTCAATCTACATTGCGTATTGGATGCTTTGGTTGCAAGCGAAGCTGCAACGGGTACAGATAGCGTATAATAACCCTTGCATTTGATTAGAGCGCCTTACACTCACGCCCTCCAGCAGGAGCAGGAGCCTGGGAGAGAGCGACGCCGTTAACCTTTGAGAACAGGGTGGCCCAACTGGCAGCCCATGGACCCGCATCCGGCCCCCGCAGCCCGATTTCATCCACCGCTTCCCCCCCGTGCCCCGTCTCTCCATAACCTGTGAATGTTATGTTATCTCTCTGGAAGGGAAACACAAAAATATTGCTTATGCGACCCGTGGGCGTTTCTCAAATTGGGCGACCGGGCCTCAGCAGCCAAAAGGTTGGACACCCCCGGCTTACAGAACAGCGCCTTCCACTCCCATCCCGGCAGTCGATCACATGCACTCGGCGTGTCCCAATCTATATGTCGTATCCCTTGATATTATTTGGTCGGATCACTTGGATGACCCACTGCCTTTGTCTGTGGCGGTTGTTGTGTTGTTGTTGCTGCTGCTGTTGTTGTTGTTGTTGCTGCGGGAGGTGCTGTCACTGGGAAGGCTCCCATTCCCACGCTGTCTCTCCCCTCCCCCCCCCGGAACCCCGGATGAGAGTGGGATATGGTTTTCCTTGCAATGCCAATACTCGTTCTGGCTCATCACCAGCAATGCCACCTCCTGGCCGCTGGCTTGGATCTTGCACACCACATCTTCGTACGGGCTGCTCTCCACGTTCTCTCCGTTCACTTCCACCAACACATCCCAGTCCCTCAGCCCCGCCCGGGCTGCGACCCCGCCCGCCGCCACCTGCCGGAGAGCCGGAGAATTCATTACATCCAGAGAAAAAAAAAACCCACACGTTTTGGGGCCAATTATTAATGACGTTTAATCTGGATCCGGCTAATAATTTATCAGGTCACACGGGACCTTTCAGAGCTCTTCAGTTCACAACTCACACCCGGACAGAGATTTGATGAGCAATGATAATAATAATGATAATCCTTGCATTTGATATTCAGATTATACTGTAAAAGTGTAGTGACTGAGTATTTTGTGGGAGAAACGCGGCAGCCAATTGCGGTTGCTACCTTGCCTTGTGCAACACCCTCCGCCTCGCCCCTCCCTTGCCTCCCTCAAGCCATGTCTCAAGATCCTCCTCTTCGACCGTGCCCTCGGACACCCTCCAACCCCCACTCTCCCGGCCCTCCACCCCTCCTGATCCCAACCCCCAGCTCGGGTCCAAATCCCTGACCGCCCAGCGCTTTGGGACGTCCTCCTGACGTGAAAGGCGCCGTGCAAATGTAATCTGTTGCTGTTGTTGAGGCAGGTCTGGAAGGAGCAAGGGGGAGGCGGGGGAGCGAAGCGAAGCGAAGGGACTGTAGGAAGGGGTTCCCAAAGGAGGGGGGCAAAGCAGAGGGATTCGGGGATGGAGTTCCAAAGGCAAGGCAGCAACCCTTCACTGTCCAGTACAATGGGACGTCCTCCCGACGTGAAAGGCGCTGTGCAAATGCAATTGTTGTTGTTGTCGGGGGCCGTGTGCTACCTGTTTGATGTAGGTCCCTGTCTCGTCTGCGATGCTGTAGACTTGGAAGCCAAATCCCTCGGAGTTCTGCACCAGACGCCCGAACCTGGGTTTGGGGGCTGATGCCCCCTCCCCTCTGTTCTCTGTCGCACTCTCTTCATCTCTCGCCTCTCTCCTTCCTCTTTCTCTGTCCTCCTCCCGCTGCTCACCTTGAAGGGCAATTAAAGGGGACAACCCCAGCTGTGCCAGAAGGAAAAATGTCCTTTAACTAAAGGGACAGTCCAGTCACAGGACAAGTAATGACACCCCAGCAGCGAAACTTCCTTTCCAAAGAGTCTGTTTAAAATCATTCCCCCCCTGTTAGAATATACACTTTTTGTACACTGCTAGAATCATAATAGATGTTGTGAATGGGTTAACTTTTAAGTTACGTGTGGGGGACAACTGGACTGACAGTCATGGGATAGGACACATCTGGTTTTCTCTGTTTTTGAAAGAATAACGGACGGGGGCCGGGGGTCACCTCTTATCAGTAAATGACAACAAACCACAGAGGTAACGGTCCAAGGTACCGGTCGACATAGGATCTCGACTGAGCAATAAGTCGCTAGATTCTGACAGGGCCGAGCGACAGAAGGCAACCCTCAAGAATAGCCACTAATGAGCGAGTTGCTTAAACTGGAGGACCTCGGTACCATCCCGGGATACTGATAAGGAATAACCAGTCACTTAAAAGGAATGTGCTAATGATCCCACACCACAAAATAATGAGCAGCAGATACAGCCCTAAACTGATCAATCCTCTATCTTAGACAATTAAGGACAATGTGTACGTGTGTGAGGCACATACACCCCATGAGGTGCTCACGTGAACCCGGCATGATTTCGACCGGGTGATCTAATGTGCGCACCATGATTGGATGACCATCGGTATAAGAGTTCCGTTAACTTTGTGAACGGGGCCGTCCCGGGCTGCGGAGACAAGGGTACGGGAGATGGGGCCGTCCCAGGCTGCGGAGACAAGGGTACGGGAGATGGGGCCGTGGAGACAAGGGTTCGGGAGATGGAAGACTGAGAGCTAGAAACACTAAGACTGAGGATATCAGATGGAAGACTGACAGCAAGAAGAATCAAGCTTGTGTGCTGGAAAGACAGTGTTAAACTCGAAATATCTACGGTGGTATTGTTCTGTTATAAGATCTGTTGATTGTACCGGCCTTTGGTCTGACCCATCGGGATATTGGAGAATAACGAACGAATAATAATGAAACAGTCTGATATCTGGTTAAAGGAATTAGCGTTATTTCCTTACGGATTTGGCTGATTTTATTTTCTAACAACTTGGGATTGGGAAGGATACTCTGAATCAATACACTCGGCAGTTGACGTGTTTATGAGTCCGGTACGACCGTAACTAGTAGATAGTTGGGACGGTGGCCGTGCCTGCGGGCAATTAGCCGAGTGTATTAAAGAACCAATATAATCCATTCGAGCGAGTGTCTCTTATTTGGATTTTCTTACACACCCACCCACTCCCTCGCCGCCCCCCGCCCCCCCAACCCAAACCCTTTGCCCTGCACAGCCTGGCACTCTCCCCTGCCTGGTACCCAACACACAAAGCCTTGCCCCCAAACCACACAGCCCCGCCTCCAGCGCCAGCCCCAACATGACCCTCGCTCCCGCAGTCACACTCACACGGGTGAAGAAGGCGTCACCCTGGGGGTCGATGACGGTCAGTGTCACGCTGTCTCCGCTTGCCCGGATCATCGTCACTGCGGTCTCGTGTTCCACCCCCTCCAGATTCTTCCCGTTCACAGCCAATAGCCGGTCTCCGTCCCTCATCCCACTGGCCTCGGCCGGGCTCCCAGCGTCCAGCTCCCTCAGGTACTGACCTGCCCGGAGGGAGGGGGGGAAATTACCATCAGCGACCGACTGACCGGACCCACCCACCGCTCCCCTCCATCCAGTCCCTACCGCCTCCCGCTGTCACCCAACAGATCGCATTCAAGATCCTCTCTCTCGTCTTCAAATAATATTATTATTATTATTATTAATAATCCTTGCATTTGATACAACGCCTTTTCATGTCATCAAGACATCTCAAAGCGCTTCACAGAATATGCCGTAAAGTGATTTGACTGTATATTTGTGGGCGGCAGCCAATTGCGCACAGCAGCGTCCCCACAAGCAGTCGTAGAATGAGTGACCAAATGATAATTATTTTTATTCAGGTCCTCGCACCTCCCTACCTCTCCGACCTGCTTGTCTCAAAGGCGTTATATCAAATATAATTATATATCATGACACCCCACTCCACTACCCTCTGCTCGGCTGCTCCACCATTGGAGTCCACACTTCCACTCTCTTCCCCCAATCCCTCTGCCTTGCCTCCTCCTTCCCCTACGTCAACTCGTGAGCTTCCTCTTCCACCGCACCTCCTCCTGACTCGGCTGCGTGCACCGCCCACTGTCAAGCGCTCTGGGATGCTGCCCTGCGTGGGGCACTGCGTCAATGCCAGTTGTTGTTGTTGTGAGCGCTCACCGATCGTGCCTGTCTTCCTTTCCTCGGCTTTGAGCAGGAACCCGAAGCCGCTTGAGCCCATGAGCAGGTGGAGGCTCCGGGGCCTGAAGGCGACGTGGCTAAAGGAAGCCATGGCTGGCACCACCGTCAGCCCTTTGTCTCTGTAATAAGCCACCGTCCTCCTGCCCGCCACCAGCAATGTCACTGCCTCCCCGCTCTCTTTGATCTGTGAGAGACCCGAGAGAGCAGCTCCTTACACCAGCATCTCACCAGCCTAAACCTCAACCAGCCCCAGGCCTCACCCCCAGGCCTAACCCCAACCAGCCCCAGGCCTAACCCCAACCAGCCCCAGGCCTAACCCCCAGCCCAAACCCCAACCAGCCCGCAGGCCTAACCCCAACCAGCCCCCAGCCCAAACCCCAACCAGCCCGCAGCCCAAACCCCAACCAGCCCGGAGCCCAAACCCCAACCAGCCCCCAGCCTAACCCCCAGCCCAACTCGCAGCCCAAACTCATCCAGCCCCCAGCCCAAACCCCCAGCCCAAACCCCCCCAACCAGCCCCCAGCCCTGCCCACCAGACAGTCACTATAAATAATAATCCTTGCATTTGATACAGCGCCTTATCACGTCTTCGTGATGTCTCAAAGCGCTTCACAGGATACACTGTAAAGTGTAGTGACCATATATTTTGCGGGCGAAACGCAGCAGCCTGTTGTGCACAGCAGTGTCTTAAATTTTTTTGGAGAGTTTATTACCGCTAGAAAAGCAATCTGCCAGTCGACTAACAACTGGGACTCAGCCTGGTTTGGAGACTCGGTGGTGGGTTTCTGTGTGTCGGATACTCGACCCGCCCTGTTGTTTTTACACAACGCCTCAACACGTCGAAACATCAAAACCCGTCACTGTGATTCCACTGTAGTGACTGTTTCCTTGCCTGGTTTGCTAGCACAGTGAGAGGCTGCTCTGCCAAATTACCCTTTTGCTGACTTGCAGGTACGTACAGTCCTCCACATTCTCCCCGTTCACCTCGATCAGACGGTCGTCTGTCTGAACCAAGGCTTTCTCAGCCTCCCCCGCCTCCGTCACCGTCAGCGTGAAGTGTCCTCGGATACCTGAATTCACACAGAGACACACCACACAGTCACACACACCACACACACACAAAGACACACACACATGCACAGCCACACAGAATCTGAAGTCAATAACAACAAATTGCGCTTACACTGCACTTTACACGCAGCGTAGGGTCCCAGAGCGCTTGACAGTGTCGGAGCACAACGCCAAGCCAAGGGGTTGTGGGGGAAGTGAAAGTAATGTCGTACTCCATGTAAGTACAGTCGAAGAGGAAGGTCTTCAGGCGCGACCTGAAGATAGGGAAGGAGGGGGCAAGGTGGAGGGAGAGAGTCCCAGAGTTTTAGTGGCTGAAAGCACGGCCACCAATGGTGAAACAAGGAATGAAACAAAGCAGGAAGCCACAGCCAGTTGTTGTTGTTGTTGTTGAAGAGGAGGATGGGGAGGGGGGGGGGGCGGGGAGGGATGTGGCTGAGACACAGACAGACAAATGGCCACCATTAGTGAAACAGGTCCGAGATCTTGGGTTGGGGGAGTGGAGGAAGGAGAAAAAGCGAGAGGGAGAGCAGGAAATTAGTCGCAAACCTTTGGAGGGACTCAGCTCAAAGCCGAAGCCTCGCGGCCCCCTGGTGACGTGACAGACCCGGGGTGGGGGGACGGGGGTCCCGTTGTCCGCCTTCACCAGCTGTGGGATGTCCACATGACACGCCCTCGCCTCCTCGTAAGCGACTCCCTCCACCACCAGCAGTGACACCTTGTTCCCGCTCTGTCGCACCTTCTCGATCACCTGAGAAAAGAGACAGAGAGAGAGAGACCATAACAATAATAACCCTTGCTTTCAACATAGCGTCTTATCTCGTTGATGAGACGTCTCAAAGCGCTTCAGAGGATACACTGTGTAGTGTAATGACTGTTGATTTTGTGGGTGCAACGCAGCAACGTCAAATGCACACAGCAACGTCCCACTCACAGTCGTGGATTGAGTGACCACATTAATTATTTCTTTCTTTTGTTTTTATTTGGAAGCTTTGAGACACTTCCCCTCCACCCCACCCTCTCTTCAAAAAAAAACCAGCAACAACAACTTGTGCTTTTACACAGCGAGGCAAGGCGGGATGCTGACATCACGATGGGAGGGGGGTCACAGAGCTCGGCAACGACTTGCGATAAGGGGGAATGTATCCCCTTTCTCCCCCCTCCCCGCACCCCATACCTGACTATGCTCCATGTCGGCCACAAACTCCCCGTTGACCTCCAGAACCCGGTCAGCGTCACACAGCCCCACTCGCTGGGCATAGCTCCCCCACTCCACCTAAACCAGCGCAACGACAATAATAATTATTATTATTGTAATAATCCTTGCATTTGATATAGCCGACAATTCCCCACCCCCCCCCCCCCCCCACCAAATAAAATTTGGTCACTCGTTTGACATATTCAAAATAATTGGCAAACGAACCAGATGGGAGATAAAGAGATTTTTTTTAACAGTAGGAATAATAATAATGATCCTTGCATTTGATACAGCGTCTTATCACATCTTCGAGACGTCTCAAAGCGCTTCCCAGAATATACCGTAAAGTTGTTACCGTCTGAAACACACTCCCTGAAAGGCTGGTGGAAACAGATTCAATAACAACTTTCAAAAGGGAATTGGATATATACTTGAAAAGGAAAAATTTGCAAGGATATAGGGAAAGAGTGGGTGAGTGGGACTAGTTGGCAGCTCTTCCAAAGAGGCTGTACGGGCAAAATGGGCCAAATGGCCGCCTTCTGTGCTATAAGATTCTATGTGGTTCTATTCTACGATTCACTACTGTTGGTGGGACAATGCTGTGCGGACTTGACCGCCACGTTTCGTCCACAAAATACATAGGCACTACACTTTACAGGATATTCTGTGAAGCACTTACACAGAATATACCCTCAGGGGTCTTCTCCTGACATGAATTTGGGGGAATTGTTGGCCGGGACATTGGGAGAGAGTGAGAGAGAGAGAGAAACTCCCTTCTCTTTTCGAATAGCACAGCAGGAGATCTTTAAAGTCCACCTAAACAGGCAGTCCCTCTGTCTCAGGACATCCTCTCAACCTGGAAAGCGCTGCGTAAATGTCATTTGTTGTTGTTGTTGTTCCCCTTCCCCCCCCACTCACCTGTCGGATGATGTGACCTTCCTTTCCCACCTCTGAGCGCAGGTAAAGCCAAACATCTCACTCTCCTTCTTGCTCAGAGCACAAACTCTGGGCTTGAGTGACATGGCCGTCTCTGAAAGGAAACCACCGATCACATTGCCTGGCAAACAACGTCTCCCATTGATTGACAAATTATCAGAGTTTCACTGTGACTCGTGTCACACAAGGCTTGTGTGGGTCTGTGTGCTCGTGCCTCTGTAGGCGTCCTGTCTGTGTTTGTGTGAGTGAGTTTGTGTGAGTGTGTGGGTGTGCGAGAGAGTGCGTGTGTATTTGAGTGCGAGTCGGAGAGTTTTAAGCTGCTGTGACAGAGGGTTTACCGTTACCCAGATCATCAGTGATCACAAGCGCCGGGTTATCAATTCCTTCCTTTGGATTAAAAGTAAATTTTCTGTAAAAATAAAGAGAATAAAAAAAAACAGTAAATTTCCATCTTGGTATTGCAGCAACTTTTTACAGTTTTTACAGCGAGTGTGTTGGATCATGGACACCAGGCTACGTGTGTGTTTGCAAACAGAAATGTGTGAGTGAGTGTATGTGCGTTTTGAGTGCGCGTGCGTGTTTCAGTGTGTATTTGAGTGTGTGCGCGTGCGCACGCGAGCGTTTGAATGTGCGAGAGTGTATGCCTGTATGGCCTGTGCGCATCTGTGTGGGCGTAGGTCCGCATGTGTGCACGTGTTTCCTGCAAATACGACGCGACATTTGTCTACCCAGTCACTACACGTGACAGTGACCGGGTGTGAAGCGCTTTGCGATGTGTCGGTATGACAGGCGCCGGAGCAGAAGCAGCGAGTGATGAAGAGAATATCAGAGATAAAGAGCGGAGACACTGAAAGGGCAATGATGGACCTCGAGGATGTGCACCTGCAAATTAAACACAAGAACAACAAGCCAATGATGATAAGCTGTCACACAGCACAGAGTGAGAGAGAGAGGAGAGAGAGAGAGACGTCTGGTAAACAGACAGCCCACACTCAACACAGACAAGCGTACAGACAGACCGATAAAAGCGGAGACACTGAGAGGGCAATGATGGACCTCGAGGATGTTCCGATGCCAATTGTCAGCCTGAGGTACTGGGGTTTGGAGATAAAGAGTGAGGGAGAGCGCGAGCAAAGGAGATTTACGGCCTCTGTAACACACACTCGTGTCGTGAGAGTTCATGTGAAGCACTGAACAGAAGGAACTCTGGTGTCAAGAGTCCTCTGGTCAAGAAATGCAGAGTTGGGGGAATGCGCCACATCCTCTGAGGTATCACCCCATAGCACGAGATGTTAACTCGAGGATCCGTCTGCTTTTCCCTGGTGATTCGGCCACAATTGCCATCCCCCACCACACGCCCGTTCTGCCAACAATCAGCCGAGAACTTCTGTGTTCAATTCCCGGCAGAGGGCGAAACCTTAGGCAAGTTTCCTTACTCCACACAGAGCCTAATAATAATCCCTCCAAAAACAAAACAATAATGAATTGGTCATCTCCAATCCACGACTGTTTGTGGGACGCTGCTGTGCGCAATCGGCTGCCGCGTTTCGCCCACAATATACGGTCAATTCACTTTACAGCATATTCTGTGAAGCGCTTTGAGACGTCGAGGAGACGTGAAAAGCGCTATATCAAATGCAAGGATTATTATTATTAACTTACGGGGAGATAGAATCGGTGTCCTCAACATCTGCAAATTAAACACAAGAACAACAAGCAACGGGTGATAAACTGTCACACAGCACACAGAGAGAGAGAGAGAGAGAGACAGACATCTGGTCAAACAGACAGCCAGACACAGACACTCACACAGACAGACCGATACGACACACACACATGCGCGCGCGCGTACACACACACACACAAAGAGTCAGACAGATGTGGGAGGGAATGTGAATGCATAGTGGCTTACAAAATTTTTAAATGGGATTGAAAAAGTAAAGCCAGATCATTACTTTCGGATGCATCAAGACAGGAGAACAGGAGGACCCAGGGTTACAGCTGTAGAGGGCAATTTCAGGGACAGACACCAGGAAGTATTTCTTTACCTAAAGCGTAATTAACAAGTGGAACAGGATTACAAGGAAGGGAGGTTGAGGCCAGGTCAGTGGGACTCATTTACAAAGCAGCTCGATGTTGCGATGAGGGAACGGTCAGGCGGGGGATGTGGAGGAAGGAGATCAGATGGGACGCAGGGGCTGATGTGATCTTGTGTGAGTTAGGGGTGTGTGTGTGTGTGTGAGAGAGTATGTGTGAGTGAATGTGTGTATGTGTGAGTGGATGCACGTGAGAGTGAAAAAGAATATGTGTGCGAGACTGTGATAGTGTGTGTGAGTGTGAGTGGAAAGGCAGAGAAATGAGATGTAAATAAATAAATGTTCTTTTTAGCAATAAACCTGCCGGACTGGCTTGATGGGTTTGACTGGCTTGAGGAGCTTGAGTGGTTTCCTCCTGGACCTTAAACAGTGACTGGATAGAGGGTGGGATGGGGGAGAGATAGAGGGCAAACATCAACACAATTCCCCCCCACCCCACAAGACTATGATAAGGGGTCCACAAGGCAGCTTCTTACACACACTTGGTACAATCTTTCGATGCACAAGCTTTTTGGAGCGGGGTGGGGGGTGGGGAGGTGTGTAGGAGGAAGTAAATCTGTCTTTATTATAACTTTATTAATGATTAACAAACGTTTCAGATTACTTGTTAAACAATAAGCTCGCCTCTAAATTTTCCATTACTCTTGCATTTTTCTTTCTGTGTCTCGCTCGCTTGTTTTCTTGCACGCTAACTCATTCACCTACAGACACACACACACAGACAGAGACAACACAGGTGCATGTACACACACAGACAGACACACAGGTGCATGTACACTCACACACACACACAGGTGCACGGACGCACACAGGTCTATGTACACACACACACCCACACACACAGGGTGCATGTACAACACAGACAGACACATACACACATACAGTAAACATTCAGCTGTAACTTCAGTGCCTGGTGAACGAGGGATTGGAAAAGTAGAGAAAGAGAAATGTACCATTTGTTTGTTCCATTTCAGATGGGATTCCAGGTTCCTCCCGAGCTGAAACTGAGCTTAGTTCCCTTCGCCACGTCGAGACGTTAACTGAGCTCTCTCTCTCTCTCTGCTCCAGCTCTGACTGGCACGGCCGGTGATTTAAACTTTAAATGCAGAATGTCTCGCTCTCCCTGTGGCACAGGAAGTGTCCGCTTGAGAGAGAACTGGGAATAACTGCTGTGTTTGGAGCGAGGAACAGGTTTACAAGGTTTACCGGATCAAACAAACACTGGCTTCAGTCTACAAACCTTTCCTCTATCGAACCCCAGCCCTCCACAAACAACCAGGTAACCAGCCTGACTAGCCAATACCTCAGCCCTCACCTAACAGGCAAGCTCCCACCACACTGCCCGGGCTGTGACAACTGGTGCTGCCAAAACACTGGCTAGAGAGACCTTAATCAACTAGTTACTGAATCATTTCCCTCCCACACTCTCTCATTCTATCCCTCCCTTTCTCTCGTTCTTTCCGTCCCTCTTGTTCACGTCCACCTCTCTCACGAAAAACACCAGCAAGCAAATCAAAAGACACTGGGTTTAGTGTTTTTTTTAAAAAAAAAGATTTTTTTGAATGTGATTTGTTTACCATTTGATTGCTTTATACCGATTTGCTCTAAAAATACCTGCGGTTTTAGCGGAAGCAAACGAGATTGTAAGATCGTTTCGGATGAAGAATACCCTTTGCACCCTATCTAATCTCATCCCTCCAGAACACCCGCCCACCCTACCACCCGTCCCTCCCAAAATCGCAGCATTGAGCTGCTTTAAGAAACTCCCTTCTCTTTTCGAACAGCGCAGCATGATCTTTAACATCCACCTGAACAGGGCACAGACTAGGAGCTCGGTTTAACATCCGAAGGACGGCACCTCTGACAATGCAACACACACACACCCCAGGGCTGCAATGGAGCGTCAGCTTAGACCAGGGAGGTCCAATTGGCGGCCCGCGGGCCACATCCGGACCCCCACTCCCCCTACATTTCACTTGGACCCACTCCCTCCATAACCTGTGAATGCTATTGGAAGGGAAACACAAAAATATTGCTTATGCGGCCCATGGGGGGTTCTCAAATAGGGCAACAAGACCTCAGCAGCCAACACCCCCAACACTGGCTTAGACAATGTGATTCCAAGTCCCTGACGTGGGGGCTTGAACCCACAACGGTCTGCCTCAGAGGTGAGAGTGCCACCCACTGCGCCATCTTGCTATAGACCCGAGCAAACTTGACGAGGAAGATACGAAAAACTGGATTCATTTATTTTTTTAAAAAAAATACAGTTCGGTTGACTTGTGCGCTGGGTCACAGGGAAACCCAGAATGACTTTTTTGATCAACTCTCTTGAAACTTGTTGCTCTTCCCTTATTCCCCCCACCACCACCCCACTTCCTCCCCCTCTCTCTCTCTCTCTCTCCCCCCCACCCTTATTGCCTCGCCCTTAAATTCAGAAAAATATCTGATCCCAAAGTGTTAGTGAGGTGAGAAGGAGAGACGTTTCCTCAAGAAAGAGATTTGTGCAGATTATTGCTGACTGTGAAAATATATATATATAAAAATACCGTACGTCCCTGTACCAACTTGCGGCCACACAGTGAAGCCTCACTGGATTACTGCTGTAGAATAGATCCCCCAATTCCTCAAGGTGCATGTGTGTGTGTGTGTGTGGTGTGTATTTGAGTGTCCGAGTGTGTTATGTGTGAGTTAGTTTGTGTGAGAGTGTGCGTGTGTGTGTGTGTGTGTAAAGGTAGAATAATAGAGGGGTGAAAACACCCACGGTGTGAAAAGGGGGAAATTTAGGTTAGATTCTCTTGGTTTCATGAACATTTCAGGAAGGGCGAGGAATGGAGCCAGCGAGGTGGTAACTCTGGGCCCATTGTGGCCTGAATGGAAACGACCCTTCCCTCCAACTCCCCCCCCACCCCCACACGCTGGTCCGAGTGTAACTGAGACAGTGGAACGCTTCGGGGGGGGGGGGGTAGTGTGAAGGTAGTGTTTTTTGTTATTCAAAGTAGGGACTGGAGTGAGTGAGAGAGAAGGGCTGAGCTGGAATTGGGGCCTATATCTCTCCCCCTCCACTCTCCCTCTCTCCCTCCGTCTCCCTCTCCCCTGTTTTTCTCTACGCTCCGCGTTCGATCTTCTTCAGTAACCGCCTGACTCCGTACTCCACCCGCAGGAACTTGACTTTCTTCCACGGGTTCCACGTCTGATGCCGGCCTTCGCTCAGGTCTTTCCGGAAGAGCGCGAGTCGTTCGGCGATGAGTTGCCGGTCCCCGGCGGGGCTGCGCTCCACGTTGGCCAGGACCAGGGCCCAGTACGCGGAGATGTCAACGCCGTCCGTCACCGACACCAGCACCTGCACACCGTCCCGGCCCGGCCTCAGCCCCCGCAGCCTGGCCTTGCTGGCATCACTCAACTCGTTAAAGTACAGGCTGGAAGGCAACACAGTCCCTTACTCCCTTACACAGCAATAACGTGCAGTCCTGTAACGTAGTATCTTCCTCTATCGCTCTGCCTCGCCCGACTCCATCTCTATCTCCAGATCGCACCCAAAGACCTTCCTCTTTGACTGTGCCTATGGTCAGCTACCCCACCCCCCGGCTCAGCGTCGTGCTCCGCTACTGTCAAGCGCTCTGGGACGCTATCCTGCGTGAGTGGGGGGGGGGGGGGGGGGGAGTGAGGGGCTGTGTAAATGCAAGTTGTTGCATTTCCCGGTTCGGGGCAAAAGCTTAGACAAGTTTCCGGACTCCACACACACGCCTCTCCAGCAATAAGTAGGAATCCAAGTTGTGTAAGTCAATTGGCGGATCGCTTTCCGTGGGGGAGAGGAGTGGGACGGAGGGAGAGTGTTGTGAGTGGTGGGGGGGGGGGGGGGGAGAGTGGCGTTGAAAGCTTTGGTGCTGACAGGGTGGGGAACACTTACTGGACTTTCTCCAGGGTCGGGTGTTTCTTGGCGACCTCCATTAGCCGGAGTGCGGCCTGGTCACTCAGCTGGTTGTAGGCCAGGTTCAGCTCCTTCAGGTGAGTGTTGGCCTCCAGGTGTCCAGCCAGAGCTTCCACCCCCACATCCCCCAGGCAGGTGCGAGCGAGCGACAGGTGCGACAGGGAGCGGTTCCCGGCGATGGCGGCTCCGAGGCACTGCACAGCGGCCTCCGACATGGGGTTGTCACAGAGCCTGGGAGGAGAAAAGGGAGGAGGTCACGGCGTTGGCATGACCACAGGCGCGCAAAGCGTCTCTCACCGCATCGTAGAGCTCAGGAGGCTTTCCGCCCCCATCATGTCTCCTCTAACCTCGGGAACTCCCTCCCTCTGCCCCTCCATCTCACCCCCTTCTCTTTCTCAGTCTCCACCCCTCCGCCTTGTCCCCTCTCTCAGCCTCCACCCCTCCGCCTTGCCCTCTCTCAGTCCCATTCGTGCTCTCTACTGCCTCCCTCCCAGTCCCCTCCGCCTTGCCCCCTCTCTCTCAGTCCCACCTCGTTGCCCCTCTCAGTCCCCTCGTGCCCCCCTAGTACTGCGCCTCTCTAGTCCCCACCCCTCCGCCTTGCCCCCTCTCTAACCCTACGGAGAGCGGAAGACTGAACGGAGAGCTCTATCAGAGAGAACGGGCAATATGGGATCCTTTCCCCTCCTGGTGAGAGCGAGCGAGCGAGA